TGCTGTGAGACACAGTGAAACCTGTTGTTAAGTTGAATAGTTTATTTCTGTTAATTCTGATTTTCTTCTTCCAGCTAGTGAAAGCACATTTAAATTTAAAACAATTACATCAGATCAATTAAAACATTTTAACACAAAGATGCAGGCTTAATGAAAATTATGTTATTATAAAGCAAATAATAGTTTCTGCCCACCTGGGTCAACGACACCCGCTTCGATGCCGATGACATTGTGGAGAAAATCCTGCAGAGTCAAAATCTGAAAGTCTTTTTAGTCTGATAAACAAGCCTCATCAACCACATTCTAATTTATTGATGGTATGAATGCCTGAGACTGACAAGGCATCATAATAAAAGCTCCTACAAACAATATGTCACATAACTTTAAAGAGTATGACTTCTGACTCTACCCACACTAAATAGTTTTCTTCTACATGACTTGAAAGGGTGCAAGTCCTTTGCTTTTGGAAGTCCTTGGTGACATGTTTAAAAGTCTCTTCTGAGCTGCAGCTGGGGCCATATTGCTTTTTCATTATTTGGTCTAGAGTTATTTTTTGATCTAATAAGCTCTTCCATCAGTTCTGGCACAAAGGCATCTGTTTGAACATCTTGCCATGTAAAACACTTTGATAGATCAACCACCAACAAAGAGTATTTTTTCTTGCTTTGTCTTCATAGTTTGTATCTTTTCACACGGTTGTTAGCTGAAGTTGGCCCTTCATGTGGGCTATGTGTTTGCTATTCTAGCCATCTGTACGCCAAAATGCGTAGACCTCATGGAAAGTAATGGGTGCTTTCAGAACAGTCTATTTTTGCAACTTTGATGACTGCAGCTGGCTAATGAGAGGATTAGTAAACACTATTTTCTACTTATTTTTTAAATTGAGACTATGTGGGTTAAGCTTAGGAAGAAATTGGTAAAAGGAAAAAAAGAAGTTTGTTGCTAAACAAACTAATTTTGATTGGTGTATTGTGATTGCTACCGCTGATGAATGAATTACTGTAGGATTTGGGATTCTTCTGGAGATACTTTTTCTGCCTCTAAAGCTAGTCTGTGTTTTATTTACTGTGTTAAATGTTTTTAAGAAATGAGTAGCTTATCTGAATATGCAAAAACTAAATACTTGTTTGTCTTTATTTTTTTAAAAGATTTGCTTTGGAGGAGTCTATTAAAGTCAAGATAAGTCATAGGCATGCTATGACTTTTGTCTCACAATTTCTTCAACATGGCTTTTTAAAAGATTTGAAATCTATATGTAAGCGAGCACATAAAGTTGCTGTGTTGTAAAACATGCTAAATATGAAAATTTTTCATTTGTCTAAGACTGCTCAGGAACTATAATGTTTTATTTTTAGTGCTACACTTATCACACCTACAGAGGGACTTCAAATGAAAAATACTCTTCAAGTTATATAGAGGTCTATTTTTGTCATAACGTGTGTACCAATAGCTCAGCTTTTAAACTAATTGACCCATTTTGTAAAAATGAGCCCATATGTTAGTGGGACAAAACATGTAGGAATACAAGTGCTATAGTTGCAGTGCTATATGTTGCTTCTCTTTAAAGCATGCTGCACAATCATGTCTTAACCGTTTTCAAAATGACAGATCTATTTCCAGAAGTCTGCAGTTCATATTCATGTTCTTATTCAAAATAAGTGTCTAGACTTGTTACTGGAAACTGTTGCAGCACATTCCACATTTATTGTTACCTCTGGTTAAAGATGTACAAGAGTTAATTAATCCATATTTAATTGCAGTGGCATGATGACATGACCAGTTCTTCAGTGACTTTTAAAGAATTTTTCTTCTGTTTAATCCACATACTATTGCCTTCTCTGTGTGTTAATGTGATAAACTTGGGGCCCAGTCTTGTTTTCCTTAACTTGGAAATTGGGCAAATTTAGGCATGCATCTGTTTTCTTGAAACCATTTTGTGTTGTGTCAACACACATGCCTTACACGAGTAACGGGTTTGCATACCTTTCGTCATTCTAAGCGTTTTTTTGCAAGGCTAGACAATTTCAGAGTTTTTCCAGTTAGATTATATTAGTGCAATAAAATAATTTTTATTTCAACACTTTTATACTTTTTTTACACTATGTGTAAAAAAATGTAAATCACACTTGGTGCATATATGTCAACATTTTTTATGTAGCACTATCAAAGTTTTAAATTGCAGTTGGGAAATATGTATGTTAGCATTAACTCATTGAACAGTCATGCTTTAATTAGTGTACTTGAAGTACAATTATCAGTAATTTAACTGTAATTTTGATTGATAGCTGTTGGAATTTAGGTGATTTAGGCTAATTGGTCACATTTAGGTGATTCTGCCTGTATTTTTCCGGGTGGTCTGCCATCAGGTGTACATAAAAAGCTACTCCTTAAGAGCCCTTCGCCCTTCTATTTCCTCCCCTTATTAATAACAGAGACATGGGTGGTGTGGTTGTAGACATGGAGGTAACCCAACCTAAGTAAGCTGAATGACTGTCACTGCTCGTTAGCACTGAGCTGAAAAGAAAGCTGGTACAAATGTTCCTTTGCTTTCGTTGGAGGCTCACCAACTAAAGCACGAAGCCCACAGCTCGACTTACTCAAAGTGAATCAACAAATCACCCAGAAGCCAGGGCCAACTCTTCACGTGGAGAACGCCCAAATAAAAAGAAAACAATGAAAGAAACTGCAAATTAAAGTGATCCAAATAGCAGAAAGTGATATTTACTAATAAATTACCAATATAAACAATGGAGGCAAACACTAGCTATTGATGCAAACACTAGCTATTGATGTAACTGAAGGTTTGGCTGTATAAAACTGTGTCATCATCTGTATTTTAAGAGTCAATAATGTATATTTAATACAAACATTGAAATGGGTGCAAGTCAAGTCAATGCAATTGACTTGAAAGGTCAATCCTCAGGGATGAAACCACAAGGGGTCATCAGGAAACTTTGCTGTAATGACCTAAAATACATAAAGGAAGAAAAAGTTTTTGTAAGACTCATGCATATTTTTGGACTTGTCAATTTAAGGCCCTTAATTTTGGTCCTTCAAATAATGGAGAACCAGTGCAAAGATGACAAAACATTGTGATAAGTCAACATATGTCATGAACATAATGTGTAATACTGTTTAGTCTTTTTGTCTTCCCTTCAGCTGTTGCTAAGATGTAACGACAGACTAATTCTTATTCCTCCTTAGCAGCACTATGCATTTGATTTCCTTATCAAATGCATCTTTTCAAAATAAAAATGGCTGGTAAAGATCATTTACACTGCCACTTTATAAATACAAGGCAGAGAAATAAAACACTACAGCTTCACAAATCTGAAAAGCAAATTGGGGCTCAGACTTTTCCTTTAGGGTCCAACTTCATCTTTGTGTTCCCTCCTGTAAACGGGTTTGATCTGAGGGTATTCCTAATCTGTTTTCTTTGTAAAATGATGCAGAACAAGAAATAAACTAAGCAGTATTTTTTTGCTTTTTCTCTCGGCGATAGAAAAGTTTCTTAAAAATACACTTTGTGCAGGAGGTGGCTCAAGTAGGAGTTAAATTTCTTTAAGCTTTTCTGATCCACATGAGGGTTGTCTTTGAGGAAGCATGATTCTGTGAAGCTGCAGAGGTGTTCTTGCTGGAAGCAGATCTTAATAACGTTAAGACGTTATGCAACAGTTATTTTTAGTTGTGCTGCTGTTCAGCAAGTACTTGTTGCTGTGGATTTGTTTAAAAAAAGTTATCTTTGTAACACTGGCAAAACATAACTTCTGTATGGAATGCATTCAAAGATTAAGACTTAGTTTTCATCATCTCATCATCATCATAGTGATTAGTATAAAATATGATGCTTTTTCTATCAGGTAATAGGCAGATAATAAAGGGATATCTACCCCTCCCTTTTGCATCACTATTACATTCATCTCATTTGCACGAGATGTTCTTTTCTTTTGCTTGACATTTTTCTCTTTGGTTTTTAGCTCAAGTCATATAGCTTTTTTTAAAGGACAGAAAATGTATTTTTAAATACTATCATTTTTAGAAGAGGAAGGTCTAATGTTTCAGTTCAGTATGGAAAGAGGAACAGTTTTTATTTAGGAATGTGTTGCAAAATCTGGCTAGCTACAAAAAATGTTTAGGAATAGATTCATCTTGTTTAAACTGGTTCTATATCAGAAGATACTACATTGCGCTGTACAGCGTTTCCCCACCTAAGAAACTGGTCTTGAATTTGAGAAGCAAAATATTGCCTTATTCTGCTCTGCACAGCAATTCTTCCTTGGGCGGCTCGGTGCCGTGACCTGAGTAGCCTGCCAGGTGTAATAAAAGTTGAGGTGTACATCATTTTGGTTCTGTCAGTTGAGGCAATACATGTACAGCTTTGCTCCATTTGACTGTTTTAGAAAACACAATGTTATTGTTTGGTTTGGACTAATTCTCAAATATACTGACTTTAAGACCAATAAACTATCCTCAAATTGTAGGAATCACAGATGTGATGTCCCGTAAACAACAGAAAATTAAACTTTGTGCTGCAGTTTAATTCTACTCAAAACAAGCCAAATAGGCAGAGGACCGAGGGCTTCAGAACAATCAACAAAGTAACATGACGACAAACATATTCCAAAATTGAAATTAAAAAGGCTTTTTTTCAATTTAATTGTTGATTTGACTTGATTTTGGTGTTATTCTAAAACAGTGTGGTCATAGATGGTGCTTGACTCCTGGTTTCATATCTAGAGTTTTTACTTGTGTTTTGCTGTTTTAGTTGTACTTTTCTAAATTCCACTATCACAATTCAACAAAGTTCCTTTTGGAATTAGTTTTACAACTCTTTGTTTTTAATGCACTCAGTAAACACTCACATTGCATTCTTGAGTTACAGCTTGTGGATGCTGCAAAACATGAGTCTGTCTTTAAGCTAGGGTAACACACTTTTCATTCAGCCTCTATAATTAATAATAGACTGAGGTAATTAACTGCGACCTTTTTCTCTCTTTCAGAGCTCAATGAACCTTCCTCCAGACAAGGCTCGACTGCTGCGACAATATGATAATGAAAAGAAATGGGAACTAATCTGCGATCAGGTGAATATCTCTTCTCAGTATAATACAATGTGGCTTCTGTATGGCTCAAACTGAGTGACACACTTGTAACAAGGTATATTGACAACTTGAGCATTCTGTTTCAAATCTAGTGATGCATACAGTGCCTTGCATTACTCATACCTCTTGAAAGTTAAGAAAAGATTGAATATTGTCCTGATGTGTGTCAAGATGCTCCGCTATCCTGCCTTCATCCTGCAAGCCCCTCCTAATGCGCACAGATTGCCTTAACTTTCTTGGTCAAGTGGGTTAAGTGGCACAGCAGGGTGTAGAGCTCAGTTATCCAGTTAAAAACTCCCAGCCTGTTATTGGAGTCAGTGCTGCATGTAGAAAATAACAGAGTGCACATGTTGAGCATTGAGCTGCGGTCCGATGGCAGCCACTGCGCCAGAGTTTTTCTGCCTCCTCGAGCAGCCCAGAAAGGAATAGACTAGATCACAACCATGTCGAGAGTTGGTGACCCTGAAGAGAATCGGGCTGCTGACCAGCAAAGATTCCCCCAGCATGGGTGGAAAACTTTTCAGAAACCTTTCAGGCTGAAAGTGAAGCTGGTTATGGACCTTTTCAGACTGCCAGTGGAGGAGTTTCTAAGTAATTACCTAACAAGGATGAGCAAAGGCTTGATGAAATTCATCCTTTTAAGATAGAAGGTCGGCTACTTTGTAGGTCGGCTACTTGATGTTTTGTTCCCCTTGCTTTCACTACCAACCTATATCTGTAACAGCTCACACAGCTCTGGGAGTAAGATGCATCCTTTGTCCATAGTTACAGGGAATCCTTTAGAGTAACCAAGCAACCATGACAAAATGTAGACCCTGTCTGTCCACCAATCTCCCTTTCGGCTGAAGTTTTGAGCTGGTGCTGCAAGTGTGAGGACTTTTTTCTTAACAAAAACTGTTTGAAAAAAAAAAAATCTGACAACAGCCAGATCCTGTTTCTGTGACCTTTATCCTGCTAACAAGGCACTTTCCAGACAGTTTCATCCTTCTGCAGTCACATCATGTTCTTGAAAACATGCAAAAGTTTTCACTACAATGTGTAAACAACTGATTGACTTCTTTTACTTGAACAGACTCTACAGACTCTTTGAAAAAAAAAAACAAACCCAAAAAACACTGTTTTTATTTTCAACCTGTTACCCAGACAACCTTACTCATATAGGCTCCTAAGAACCTTGTGTGTTGAAGGTTGTTTTGCTTCACTCACATTTTATTTTATGCTTGAACTGCAATCGGCCCACTTGTATTTTCGCAGAGTTGCTTCATTGTCTTGTCTGTCTGTTGCTGTCCTCTGAGAAAGCCACTCTTTCCTGTCTCTGCTCTCATCTTGAATTTCCTGTTTTTCTGACTCTGATAAATGTAGTGATGCTGATCTCATCTTACTTTCTGGGTACAGTAGGTAGTCATGGGAGATAATCTATTACAAACTTGGTCATGTTTGCATGTAAACCTGTGTAGTTGCTTTTTTTTTTTTTTGGACCTCCGTGAGTCTACATTGGACAGATTTTTTGAGTACTCTCTGAGTAAATACTTGGAGTTGGACTTTTTCTGTTGGTTGTTACTTTCCTTAAATAACTGAAAAACTTTTCTTATTGATCTGTGTTGTTTGATACAGTTAAAATTTGCACTCAGATATTTTCCCAAATCTCAAAACTCTTAAGTTGAAGGGTGTACTTCTTTTAGCTAGCTGCCCATGCAGCTGGCTAAAAGGAGGAGGGAGACATTGCTGGGAGACATTGCTGTATTACTCATTGCTCCATACAACCAGGAAAAACTGACTTTCTCTGGTTACTCATTAAAACACTTTATACCACAGGACCAGTATGAATGTTGTGGTTTTGAAGCTGTACCCGTCTTAAAAACTCGCTGTGCCTCGACAATGGTAAATGACTTGTGTGGAGTGTAACCTATGCTTCTACATTGGACAGGCAAATCTTTTGGCCACACTGTTTTTCTATGTAGGATATTAGGCACAACATTTTAGAAATACTTTTGTGACGTTTTAATTGCTAAAAGATTCACCACAAAACCACAGTATAAAAAAAACAAACAAAAAAAATTGTGGAAACATTAACATTTAGGTATAATTTGACATCATCACCACAATGCCAAATTATTTTCTCCGAATGTAACGTATTTTCTCATCCAACCAAACCGGCCTTGATTTGGATTGGTGACTGTGTGGACTGGATGCACTGTCATCCTTGAGATGATTAGCTCAAGGATGTGACTTCCTAATGTAATTTCCTAATGTACGTAGTTTCTTTATGGCCACATGTTTCATATGAGGACCACATTTAGAAAATCTAAGTAGTCGAAACACTCTTTGGCATCTTCATCCGAGATATATTTAAATGTATAAAAGGACAAATAAAATAACTCTGGATTGTTTTTCAGCGTGTGGGAATAAATCTCTTTAGCAAACAAACTGAAATATAGAATATTGCAGACACAATAAATCTTATTCCCTCTTCATTTATCACTGTTTGTACATCTGTGTCTCATAACGTAACAACCTCAGAACAATATGTAATCAGGATTTAATTGTCTTTGTTTTGGAATAAGCCGCAGTCTGTCTCTTTGACTGCGCTGCTGCCTCGCTTTTCTCTGGCTTCTACAGCACAAGCAGAGGTGCCAAAATTGTGTTTGCAAACACCAACTAGAACTAATTGCTCAGTCTGCCTCGAGGCATACGTCTTCCTATTTCTTTGTTTTTTATATATAAACAATTTAGCCATACTTGTTGAAGTTTCACCATTGATAAACTGCTGTGCTGCTGTTCTCAGTCTGAAACAAATACAATTTCCCGCTCAACACACTGATCCAAATCCTAGACTAATCTCCTGTTTTTATATTTAGAGCACAATGGTGCGGGCTTAAAACCTGGTGGTTGGTTCAACGTGGGTTATTGTACATCTACAGTGAAATAGTTTTTCACAGCAAAGCCTCGTGATCTCCTGGGATTTGTTTTTGTAATTGTTTTTGTTGAATCCATGAGGTATTAAAAAACCTCCTCCCCTTAAAGGGATAGTTCAGTATTTTTAAGGATAAGTTAAGAGGTTAAAGGCATGTAATATATTACCTGCAATAAAGAACTCTTTCGGTGTCATTAGTAGAAATCCACATTAGTTGTGTACATCTGTGTACGTTTAAACTTTGATTTTCCCACCGAGAAGCAAATAAAAGTTGATTCTAATCCAAAACCTTTCATTTAACAAAAAATGTAAAGCAGTGTTAAACCTGAGTAAAAATCTTGATAGAAAACGGCATCTTTCTGTGACTGATTTTATTTCATGTAGTATGAAACGAGTCATATGAGTGTTTGTCATGTTTGCAGCCACTTATGAATGGAGGAACTGTTTTATTTTCCTTCTTGAAGTGGAAGATAATCTTAAGTTCCCAGCTATGGATGGTTTGCTCACTGTGAGTTAAAGTTTCCTTTGTGCTGAGAATAAATAAGATGAGTGTGTTTTTGTTTTACTGTGTGTGTGACCATCTAAATCACTGAACTCGTAAAAAATCTAGATGTGTCTGTCTGGAGTCTTTTTTTTCTTTATTTTTGCCTTTTCCTCTTCTTCTTTCTAAATCTCATGTTCTTTTCTCCCTTTGGCAGGAGCGATTTCAAGTGAAAAACCCGCCTCACACTTATCTCCAGAAGCTAAGGAGCTATCTAGACCCTGCAGTGACACGGAAGGTGAGTTTTCAGCCTAACTTGCTTTCCTGTTCTTGCGGCCTGGCAGCTTTCAACCCCCTCCCAGCCAAAGTCTCCTGACCTTCTTACTTTTGTTCAAGATATCCCCACAGCTGAGGAAAGATTGCACTGAAGAGTTCCCTGGGAGACAGCTTGGGAACTCAAGTTGCAAAACATTGCAGATTAGTGAGAAAGCAGACAGTTGTTTATTGGGAACACCCTGGTTGGAGAAACCCCTGGTCAGAGTTTAATAGTGCTGCTCTGTGGTAAACAATGAGCAGGGGAAAGACAGACATATTCCTGCATTGAGCAGCTTTGCAGGCTGCTGAAAGAAATAATCAGGAGTTCCTTATCTATATGATAAAAATGCCTTTATGTTGCTTTAGCAGCCCACATTTGGATGTGTTGCTTGGCTGCATGAGAGGGAGAAAGTTTGAGGCTAGGGAGGAGCTTCATGTGGACAAGTATCAGCCAAACCTCTCTTGTTTGCCAAAATGAAGTCTTTTGGCTTTGGATGTGCAAGCTGTAGCGAGAAACGCCGGGGGACCTGCCTCTGTGATAATCAAATTAGGCAACAAACTCTGCCAAAACAAGAACAAATCACTGAATAATTCAATCTGAAGCTGCTGTGGCTAAAAGTTTTAACCACAATGATAGGACTAGAGCGGCATGACAGAACTAAAGCAAGCTAAAACTGTGATTACGGTTGTAAAACCAGTGAAACGGCTGAGTTTTTATGAGGCTGTTTTGAAAGCTTCTCTGACGTGGGAAATTTTGGAATCTTCACAAAAAAATTGAAAACTGGAAAAAAAAGCAATACAACAAATAATTGATAACATATGTGCAAGAAAATGTAAGTTTCCTTTTCAATAATCATGTTAATCTAAGCTAGCCTGGTAATTTTTTAATACGGATGAGTTCAGGCCTGCAGTGCTACGGTCGGCATATCTACTGCCTGAGGAGTCATGTATTTAGAGAATCTGATACAGAAAAGATGTGACAGCAGAGTGTTTCAGGCATAATAGACCTATCAGTGTCTAGGTTAAATTATCATATTTTCTGCAACAACGGGTTTAGTGTGAGAAGATTCAGACTAGAAATGCACTGAACGGAGTGTGGGGCAAATTTCCGAGCTCCTTTTTTGTGAATTGTTGGTGTGTCAAAACCAATTTTAATTTAATTTGATTTCTTAAAAGAAAAGCAAACAGCACCAGTGAATTTAATGGTGAAAAATGTCGAAACAATGTTTACTGGAATTTTAGAACAGAGATGGAAGGATTTCAGAGTATTGATATGTTAAATTGTCTTAAGCATCTAATGGTAATAAGTTTGGCTAGCATTACAAAACCAATAGTGAGTCATAAGATTTTCAAATCACTATATTTCTGAATCCAGCCTATTCTTTGCTGACAGAAGTTGAAGACTCAAAAGAATGAGGTGGAGAGATTTTCCCATACCGTCTTCAGTCTTCCTGATGTCTGTTTTTTTTGTTTTGTTTTTTGTTTTTGGACATCTCTGAGATCTGAGCTCACAGAAACCAAAAATAGAGAACTGAGTCTTCATCCCACAGTTACAACCCATAATGAAGGGTATTGCTGTTACTATGTGAACCATGTGAAACTTTTAACCTGCCAGATGCTTCCCTCAAAGTAAGTTACATACTAAAGAAAAGTTAATTTTTCATTCAAGCAGTTAAAAATGTAAAATTCATATTGTATAGATTCATCACACCCAGAATACTGTTAATTAATATTAATTTTGATAATGACTTACAGCTAATAAAGACCAAAAATGGACTTTTCAGTGAATTTGTCAAATTAAAAACAACTTTTAAAACATCAATTATTTCTTAAGACTCACACAGTCATTATAAAGATATCCAGCAAAGCAGCACAACATACAATAATAAGAAAAAAATGAAAATGTAAAAAAAAATAGAAGGAAGGAAGAGGAAAGGAAGAGAAGAGAGGGAAGAAAGATTCTGACATCCAGCTGGAGTTTGTGCCTCAAAAGCCAACAAATCCATGGCCTGGGACTTCAGCTGTTGGATTCTTGAGTTGGGTTTTGGAAATATAAGTTTTGGCTGAACATTTGCAGGCTGACCCAGTCTTTAGATAGTCAGTCTTCTTATCAGGAGTAATTTTTGAATCTATGTTTGGAAATCAAAGGTCATAAAATTTGACAAAAGACAGACACGCTAAAGGTCAACCTGGGCTTCCTCAAAGCCTCCTGCAAAATACGATGCACTGTTATCCAGTGCATCGTAATTTATGCAAAAGGAGCCCCCAAAAAGTTTTGAGTGTAGATACAGTACGGTAAATGTGCTGTACTTTTCAGTAGAACATTCCTATTTGGGTCTTATTACAGTACATGTTTTGAGTATGTTTAACTGTAAACTAAGCAAGCGTTGGAATAGGTACATAATCTGTTAATCCTCTCAAGTATTTTCCAATATGTTAAATGTTTCCTTGTCAGAGGCAGTGACCATGTTGAAACCTTTCTAAGCGTAAATTTAGCATTGCCATTGAAGATCAATCATATGAGCTGCTCTACCGTCCCCCCATTTTTTTCCATTTAAAGGTAATCAGCTTTTGTAAAAGATGTCCCAAGAAGATGTCACTTCAGTTCTCTTCCACCTTGTTTTTATCTCGGGTGGCCTCACGTTTGTCGTGTAAAATTAGCCTGACATGAGACTGGCGCCTTTTCTGTGCCTCGATTGAAAGCTTGAAGTGTGCAGACACACAGGAACAAGAAGAAAGACTGAAGCGAGCGCAGCAAAAGGGAAGGAGAGGTGCTGAATTAAAGAGAGTTTATTGAGGGAAGGGGCTAAGAGATGGACGGATGACAACAGAGTCAAAAAAACTAAGCACAAGAGGGCATGGAGGAAGAGAGAGTTATGGGCTTCTTTCTACATTCCTGCTCCATCCCCCTTTTCTTCCAACTCAAACAATTGCCACTTTGTGCCAATGTGAGAGAGCTGGAGGTCATTGCCTCTGCTTTCCATAGGCAGGCTCCCGTGCATTCCTCCGAGCAGCTCCCAGCCAATCGGCAGCCAAGGAGGAAGAGCCTCAGTCTCGCTAGTCCCCAAGAATGCATCAGTCGTTGATTTGCTTCCAGAACGACCCCTCCTGTGCTAACACCTCCCCACACCTCACTTTTCCACTCTCCCCTCCTTTACATTCTCCTTCCTGTCTCCTCTTCATCTCTCCCCCCTCCTTTCCTCTCAGCCTCTCTCTCTGTGATGCAGCTGGTAGCACTTAAACTTGTGAGGGTTGGTGGGGGGCTGAGAGAGCCTGCGCAGTACCCCGAAATGTGTTCTCTGCTTTCCATATCCTATTTTTTTTAAGTACTCCTCCCCTCCCCCCCCAAAAAAAAAGGATTCTCTGTTTCTCATCTCCTCAAACATACACCGCCCTGGACCAGAGACGTCCACTGGAGAGAATCAGCTGTGGGAACAGCTCTCTTCTCTGTAGATGTTAATAATAGGCTGACACAAGCCTGAGCTCTGCTTCCTCCCAGATATAAACGCATCATGGAAAGAGACTGGGAGGGTTTGTCTCGTCTCTTCTTTTCTGTCCACACTTTTATAGCACCGCTTCAACCTTCTCCAGGTTTTACAGAGTGTTTTACAATGTGTTGATCCTTCACCCATTCACACAAGTGTTCTTTTCTTGTCTCGGTCTCCAGTCTAATCTGAAATTAATACAAGGCAGGAATGGAGGACTGGACCACTGATGATTTTAAGACAGCTGTTACCCAGGGCTCCTGAATACTCTGGAAAAATCAGGGATATCTTTAATTTGGTATTTTCTAGTTCAAAGTAAGAGGAGTGGAAATTCATCCATCAACCAATGGATTCATCATTCCTCAGTTGATCCAAATCACCTCTTGTCTGTGTATTTTTTTTTTTTTTACAAATATTTTAGTACACTTGAAATGAGACAAAAGTAACTTTTCAGCAACATATGGAAGCTTGTTTTTTTTTACTTTTGTGTTGTTGAAAAAGTACATCTTCCACTGGAATATTATTTCATTTATAATAAGACACTTTTCCTGTGTTATAAGTGATATAATCTGCCATTTTTCAACAACATTATGGAATTTTTGACTTAAACCAATCTCCCGTATCTTGCTGAAAAGTTATTTGTAAGTTAGTTTTGCCTTCAAGTATACAAATATATTTGAACAGGAAACTAGATTTAAAAAAACCTAAGATTTTGTGCTTTTACAGCTTACCCTATCCTGAACTGAATGTATAATTAAACTCTTATCTATAGTATTTTACAGTTTTCCTGTTTCTCCTGTCAGATTGTCTAAAATGTAAGTGACAAACTTATAAAAGCATCGCTACCTGTAAAAATAACAGCCCACAATGTAACATTTTCTTTATGAAAGTTCAATTAGGGTTTCTTCTGTATTATGAAGAGGTTTCAGTCTGTCTCATGTGGGGATTTTTCCCTCCTCATTACGTTACAGCCCATTTGATCGCCACGGGTCATTCGCTCAGCTTGTTTTGTTCTTGTGGTTGTGTAACAGACTAAACGGCCTCTTGTCTACAGTTTTGCAGATAACTGTTGAGTCAGAATGGGGGAGAAAAAGGACTTAGGAGTCCACTCATATTCATTTTTCTTTTTTTCTGTCTCGATCAGGAGCTGGGTCTCACCTTTCCGTGGTCTTCAAGTTTTTATAGCAGCTGTAGCCTGAGTAACAAACCTGAGAATTTATGTTTGTTTACGTAGCTGCTGGATGTTGAAGCTATTTAAAGACGCAATCTACTGCTCTTAGATAATAAGATTGGGCTTATTGTAGTTGAACTAGCACTATTTAATAGACATACAGTATTAAGGTGTGTTTTCACACTTGATTATTATGAAAGAAATGATCATAATGAAGGATGGTGATGGCAGCATCATGCTTTGGGATCAATTTTATTAGATCCCAAAGCATAATTTTTCTTGAAAATATTTTCGCCACCGTTTATCCCATGAGAGCATCAATACATATAAATATATTTGAAAATCTGATTCAAACTGATTGTAAAGGTGCTTTGACAAACTTAGTATTTAAAATTGTGCACGATATACATCATGTTAGAAGTGGACAAAGTGTTGAAATAGTTTATTATGATGTTAGAAACCTTTTTTTTACAGGGTTGACTTTAGTTGAGGGTTTGACTGTATGAGCTATAAAATTGAGGTAAAAAGAAGGAAAACAAGAAAACTGTAGCTTTTTTCCAGTGAGTCAGCTCTTCATCTTTAATAGCCTAGTTAATAGCTACTTTTATGTTGAGGAACGACTCAGCCCCTATTTTTTATTCTTGGATTTTATATGCTGAACTCCCTCCTCACTCTCACTTCAAAATATCTGTATTTGTGTTTGTCTGACCTTTCTTTTTAGAAAAAAAAAGCTCCCCTCAGCCAAAAAAACATCCCTGATCTATGTTCCTACCACATGTTGATTTATTAGGGTATGATGAAATCTAACCTCCCCCCCAATTTTATTTTCCTTCCTCAGAAATTCAGACGGAGGGTACAGGAGTCCACCCAAGTCCTGAGAGAACTGGAAATTTCGTTGCGGACCAATCATATAGGGTGAGTCACTGACTGTGCTGAAGCTTGTGTTGTATAAACGCGTCTTGTGTCTGATTATGTTCAATTTAAGGGGGAAAAGTCTAGCATTCCAGACACTGGGAGACGCAGAGCCCCCGCTCTTGTATCATTCCTATCTGTGCTGTGACCTAATATTACACCGAAAGCCATGTGGCGGAGAAGAAAAGATGAATCGGAGGATTGTTTCGGAGCAGCTGACACATGAGCAGCCTCTGGAAGGAAAACACATTTTTTTCTTTGCTGGAGTTTGGCCGTGCCACTGTGGCGTTTCAGTGCATGATTCCAATGATGAGATATTAATGTGGATATTGCTACACAGATGATGATTTCACAACACATGAAACACTGGGGCATTCATGTGCTATGTTAGGTATTCCCAGATAACAAGTCTAAACCTGTGGCAGCAGATACAGATTTAGAGCTGTACAGTCAGCCTGGAGCAGAGATCAATATCTCACAGAGAGTCTCAGTGTTTTTTCATGCTTTAGATCACACATCTGCGTCTCCATGGGCTGTGATGAGTGCATTACTAATGAGGCCTAATGCATGATGGGATACGTTGAATCCAAATTCCAATTATAGTTGTAAAGAAATGCTGCTTTACAGACACAAGGGATGTCTGCATTTGTGTTTTTTTTTTTATTGTTTTTGTTCTAAATAAAAAAAAAAAGAAGTCTGGAACTTGATGCAAAGTCTTTCCAGGTAGATTTTTTTCCTTCCTTGTATTCTTTGTTTCCTCTGTTTTCTTTCATTTCTTTATTTCTTTTTTTCAGGTCTCATTTTATACTTTAAAATGAAGGACAATTGAGTCTGAAAAGTTCTGCCAGGAAAAGTCAGATTGTATTTTACATTAAAAAATTGCAGAATGTCCTTAGCAACCACAGCTATGAGTATTACCAAGACAAACACTGCCAGAACAGAAAGTAAACCTTTTAATGCAGCCTATAGCAGAGCTCTCTAATCTTATCTCAGATTAAGTTTTTTTCTCCAATTTTATATCTCACAATGTGGGAGTCATTTTACTCAGGAAGAAATATGACTTTGTTTTAGTCATTTGTAAACAAAGGATATGTGATTGACTCTGAAGATTACATTTCTAGAAAAAAGAAATTACACACTTCTAATTTTAAAATTTTACATAGAAGAGGCACTTCTAATTTTAAATCTAACGTCAAACATAAAAACACACAACACATACTATGTTGTCAGTACTCATGAAGCAAAAATGAAGTCAAAAATAATACAAATCTCAATGCGGAAAACCAAAATAAAATAACGTCATCAATTTTGTTGAACAAGCCATTGTTTCTTCTCATTGACCAGTGAAAGGCTACAAATCCACTTTCAACTTCTTCAAACTTCATCATTAGTAAATGAAAAATAATTTTCACGACTGGGAAACATTGAGACTGTTGGTGGTCTTCCCAACAATTAAAATCCCTACCAAAGCAAGGTTAGAGTGTGTAATTCTTGGATAATACAAAACCTCTAAGAGTCACATTTTACACAAATGTATGGTTCTGTTTGGTCATCAGATTTTAAATTCTTGACAGTAAAATTTGAAAACAATCTTATAAATTCTGTTTCTTTGAATGAGACAGGAGAAGTAAGTCTCTAGAAGGTTTGCAGAGCTGTCTCTGAATAAACCACAAGACGGGCACTGAGATATGCTTTTGGAAGATTAGCCCAAAGATAGATGTTTGGTCATAATGCACAGAACCATGTGTTTGGCAGTGATCAAAAGCATATTGAGCTCAGTGGTGGAGAATTCATAATTTACACTTGCTTCACAGGCACAAGACCTGTGCAACTTGTAGTCACAGAGTCGACCTTGGTCTTTTCTGAATTCCAGATTGTTTAAGTATCAAATTAGAGGCTATTTGTTGATTTCAAACACAGCAGCAAATCTTTAACAAAATGTCCTGGAAAATATTTTACAATAGCTTCTTAATCAGTCAACCTGATTGAAATGCTAAGAAAGTGCCTTTGGAAAGCATTGGAGAAACTATAATGTGAGCAGATATTCTTCTTTTGCATTGACTTTGGAACTCTGCAGGTTTGTTAGGTTTTAGTTACACTTAGCTGTAGATATCATTGAAACCTGCTGGTGCTGAATCACTGGGTTTACTGATGAGTTTTTCATTTTGGTTTCTTGTTTGCTTAATAAATTTTGCAAGCCTGGAATATGTTCTTTGTTTTTGGAGACTTGTAATTAGGCTTAAGTGAACCTGGTAAAGACCAGATGAGTATTTCAAATGTACAAGCGTGGACCTAAGAGGAGAAGCAAGCAGCACAGACGCTGGTGTGGCAGTTGCTACGGCACAGGGAATGAGAGAAGGAGTCGCAGAATGTACAAGACAAGTCGGCAGAGAGAGCGGTGTTTGTTTAGTCCTTCATAAGCTTTTTGTCTTCGAAGTAGGTCTGCTCGATGCGCCTGCAGAAGGACAGCAGATCTTGAAGGATGCAGCCAAGAGAGCATTTGGTGGCCAAAGACTATTGAAACAGCAAAAACCCTTGTCAGTCTAAACTGTATCCTAAACCCTCTGTTTTTCTCTTTTCCTTCCTCCCACACACATATATATTCTTCAATTTGTCAGTTTCACCCACACTCTGAGATTATCTCATATGTCTGACAGCAGCGGCTCTGGCACTCCTACAGACTGTTTACACACCGATTCTGCTCTTTAAACCAAAACACAACTCCAGCCGCAGATGATGCCCGTGTTGCAGAGCAGCTGAACCACTGTTTAGAAGGATGAACTCTTTTTAAAGACGTGTTGAAAAACGAGATTACATGAAGTCGGTCTCTGTTAGACAAATGAGGAGCTAACCACGGAGGCGGGTGAGGGACACGGAGAGGTCAGGAGCTCCTGATTGAAACTGAGCAACAATGTCACCCACTGACACAGTGAATAATTGCTGCTTCTTTTCAGAGGTGAAACGGAAGGTTTGATCAATCATGCTGCGCATAATGGGCGGATTGTCCCTGAGTGTGCTCTGCTGACGCTGACTCTGGCTCCACGCCTGCCTGCCTGTGTCCGACATGTTGCACTGTGGTCACCAACATGTGGAGAATGGGAGGGTTGTCAGCATCTTGTTGTAATGACCACCATATGGGCAACGAAGTCACTCCCGTCAATCCGTGTTAAGACGACGGCCCTGCCTGGCACCGGTTTACCGGACTCTCATACTAGATTGTCCAGCTCCATGCAGTCACACCACATGGGGGCCAATCGAGATCCAGCTACATGATCTTTAAACAAGCTTAATGAATGTGGCATCAGTCAAAAGCCTTTGTGGCAAAAGAAATAAAGACATGACGCTTCTCTCCAGTTAGTTTTATATTTGCATTACATTATATTCAAATTTAATTTGACAGACTAACAGAAAGCAGTGCATAATTTTGAAGGGAAAGAAAAATGATACACAGTATAAAGAAAAGAATAATAAAATGTAAAACTTAAAATCTGAAAAGTGTGGCATGTATTTGTAATCAGCCCCCCTTAGACAATACTTTGTAGAAACACTGTTGATGCAGTTACAGCTGCAAGTCTTTTGGGCTTAAAGAGAGGCTAGCTCAGTTATGTATGTTGTAGGCAGCATAATAGGTAACATGAAATTTGAAGAAGCTGCATATGAACAAATCAGTGATATGGTTTCTGAAACTTTTTCTTCATCAAATACATTAAAACGAACTCACATTTTCACTGTTGGAACTCAACTAAATAATTTGATAAACTTTAATGTGTTCATTTTCTTTCATGATTTAAAGATCTTAAGAACTCATATGAAATCAGAAAACCAGAACAAGGCCTGATTGGAAAGTCTCCAAATAGAAAAAACTCAGAAGTGTTCTACAAGAAAACAATACAGCAGCTTTTAATTCCTAGTAGTGTTATTTTGTTTCACTTTCCTGTAATTGTACAAAAATATCTCTTACACTTTTATTTCTGTAAATGTTGGTTAAAATTTAATTGATGGTCACAACGGTTTATTAGCAGAATTATTTTACAATAAACTTCTATTTTTGTTTGTTTTCAGGTGGGTGAGGGAGTTCTTAAATGAAGAGAACAAAGGGCTGGATGTGCTGGTGGAGTACCTTTCATTCGCGCAGTATGCTGTCACGTAAGTCTCTGTGGGCAACAGTGTTTCAGAGCAACCAGCACAACGCTGCTATTCTACAGACGCTGATGCCTCTCCAGTCAGCGCCAGCTCCACCGTCTCTGCTGTCAAAAACACAGAGTCACTCGCTAACCGTCACTAACAGATTGTGTATTACAGCAGCCGTATGCTGCTGCTATTCATGAACTGACAGGGGGATTGTTAGTCACTCTTAGACGACCTGTTTGAGACCCCGTTGCCTTTTTTGTTAAATTTTAAATTCATCGCTTGACTTCAGCATGTGGGATTATGGTTTGTCCACATTATAGAGGTTGGTTGTAATATGACATTTATACAGTGCTGGAGCAGCACATAAGGTTGGTGGAATAAAATACCTTAGCCGCTACCAACGTCAACAAAACATTTCATTTGTTTAGCTTCACATGTTTAAATGCACAAAACCGCAGTGGCGTCACCGCTGAATCATTAGACTTTGACATGTCATGGTTTATATGACAACTTAATGAAGTGTTTATGTTTTGGTTATTGGACTTTCTAAACAGAAGCCAGTGATTTAAAAACAAAAAAGCCGTTTTAACTTTTTTTTTTTTTGGTCAAAACAAGTTGGTAGAAATTTAATTTAGATGTTTCTTTAATGTTTGAAATAATAAAATTATAAAATTACTAGCAATCCCAACTGATAAAAAAAAATAGACTTTTTACATCATATTCAGACAGCTGCCACACCTCAACTATCAGCGTTTGGATCAGACTTTTCAACATTAAGCTCACAATGCATGACAATTCAAACATTTAATTTTTTTTTTACCCTTGTCAAAATATATTAGCATTTTAAACTTGACTGTTTTATGTGTTGTCATTCATTTATATTTTATATTAATTTACCCTCTAATAGAAGTGGCTGCACAGTGGCGCAGTGAGTAGTGCTGTTGCCTTGGAGCAAGAAAGTCCTGGGTTCGATTCCCGGCCCGGCCTGGGGTCTTTCTGCACAGAGTTTGCATGTTCTCCCTGTGCGTGGGTTCTCTCCGGCTTCCTCCCACAGTCCAAAAACATGACTGTCAGGTTAATTGGCCTTCCCAAATTCTCCCTAGGTGTGAGTGTGTGTGTGCATGGTTGTTTGTCCTGTTTGTCTCTGTGTAGCCCTGCGACAGACTGGCGACCTGTCCAGGGTGTACCCCGCCTCTCGCCTGGAACGCAGCTGGAGATAGGCACCAGCACCTCCCGACCCTGTTAGGGAGAAGGGTGCTCAGAAAATGGATGGATGGTTAAAACAGTTAAAAAGGTCATAAATCTCACCTTTTTAAAACAAATAAATAGTCTCATAAGTTTTATGTTGAGGAAAACTAGATTTTAGTGGAAGTGAGTAGGGGAATTTTGCACTCAAAGTTTAAACAGGATCTTTTTGTCAATAGATAATACATAATGCAATCAAATCAGTTTTGTTGCTTATGTCTGATCTTTCAAACATTCTGTCAAAAATTGAAAGCTCACAGTGAAATTGTTTTAGATCCTAAAGGTGATTGATTGCTCAGAAGTTTTAATCAGGCCTGAAGTATAAGATGAATCTGAAAAACAAAAATCTGAAAAAATGCTGATGTACAATAATGTTTTTTTTTTTTGTTTAGTTTAGTTTTTTTTGCTGTGTGTCAATTTTTGGCACAAAGATATTGGAAAATGACAAAAGGCATCATAGGTGTTAGAATAAGACTGCGTTCGTATAGTTTTACTAAAACTATTGGAATGCTGTTTTCCTTCAAAAGTTCTTGCCACAAGCTTTTACACTATCAAAATTATCTGATACTAAAAAGGAAAGTAAAAAAGAAGAACAAATATGCCAAAGGGGAAAATGTGAACGATAAAAGAAGATAAAATGAAAGCCATTAAATTAGACATACTACAGAAAAGACTCTGATGCTGCTAGTGTTATGCTTGAGTGATCACCATTCAGAGTTTACAGCTCTAAAAACAACAGATAACCAAAAAATATGCATAGTAAAACTTTTTGCTGAAAAATACTGGCTTCATTGACAGCTTTTTACTTCTTTTGAACTAGTCAGCAACAGCACTGACATTGAACAAAGCAGTTTTTTTTGTGTGTGTTTTTTTTTCTAAATCTGGTAACATTTAGGGAATAAATCTGCTGCTTCAACCAAAGTATAGCAAGTCTCTGGGTGGTCCTGAATTGTAGTTAAATAATTGCAAAATAAAGTGTTTTTCACAATTGGAAAGGTTTTGTGCAGCTTGTTGACTCAACTCTGTCTCTTTTTCCAGTTATGATGGTGACTGCTTGGAAAACAATACAGATGTTATGATGGACAAGTCCAAGACCTGGGGCCGGTCTATAGAGGACCTGCATGGAGGGGGTACCCTGCCAGCCCACATCACGGGGAACGGCATCACTCGGGGCGGGCGGCATTCCACGTTACGGTACTACACACATCACTATGCGTTTCTACATTTAGCTCCTGGTGATAAAGTTACCCTGCAACTGTGTTCCTTCCCCATTTTCTGTTTTCAGCAATTGGCTTAAGCAGTGTGATTATTTTGAAAAGTCACACGTTTCTTATGACGCCTCAGCTGCCTCTTTGTGTAGTCATGGGGTCTCTAAGTCTTTAAATGGCTTAAAACACATGGAAGGGGAAAAAAATCTTTTTGTCTGGATTTTTGTTTTTTGCTGGCCAGACTCATGATTATGACACATGACTGACAATATTTCAGGCGACACACTAAATCTTTTTGTAGGTCATTTTTCTTCCAGGGGCAATATTTATAAACACCAAACTAACTCCAAATCCTCAGTACACAGGATTTCATTGCTGTTTATTCACATGGTCCTGGCTAATATATACTTTGGAGCACAAATCCAACTCGTTTATGCATCATTTCTCTTATCTCGCTGCCATGGCTTTATTCTCTCAGTACAGAAGTCGTATTGACGTCTGTTGCCTCTAATCCTTGATTTGAAGAGGTTTACCTGAGCACTTCGTACACAAAGAGCATTACTGAGTCAAGGGCCACATGAACTTTTGAGACCTTTGCACGAAAAGAATATTTAGGCAATGCACAGTGAATTGTTTTGTGTCAGTGTGACATGCACATATGTAATATTTATATATAATAAGGCATATTTTACACACTTTATTACAACTATTAATTCAAGTCTGTTAGACAAAGATGAGCCTAACTTCTGCCTTGCAGAAGTTTTCCCCCCTTAAACTTCCTGAAATGTTCTTATATTAATCCAACAAACAATCTACTTTACTGGTATTTGTGTAATAGATCAACAGAGTAGTTAGTAAAAATATGAAGTATGGACTCTATCTTCTAGATATGTTGGATATGAGTAGATGTGTTGTAAAATTATCTGTTGCTGCAAATACATTGAAGTCTTTTGTGACAGTTTCTACCAGAATTGCACATTCAGAGACAGACTTTTTAAACATTTATCTTATGCTTTCTGTTGGACTGTCACAAAAAACATTGGCAAGAAGTAATGTGAAGTTTGCTTTTTAACATGACATAATTCAAATATCAATTGCTAGAATCTCGGTCAGCTACCTACAAAACCTTCCACCACTTCATTCTGGTGCTTTATTTTTCTTGTCCCAGTCAGTTAAGTAAATGGTGCTGGTTCTTTTGTGTCACTGCTTTGGAGTATGTTCAGTATGTGAAAATAGTCAGTGTCTTCAGCTGTCTTGACTGTCTCTTCTGTTTTTGTCCCCGTCTTCATCAGTAGTCATCTGCTCTTTTGTCCGCCACTCTTCGACAGCAGGCAGGTCACCACTTTCCTGTTCCCTCTTAAGACGCACACATAAACACACAACATGCTGCGTCCACAGACTGCCGCTCACATATACATCCCCACACACAGAACCCTTTCCTTATTGTATTTTTTACCTCCCTGTTAGAGCTGTCTGGTTTATTTGACCGGCTGTTTCTGTCAGGAAAGTGAATTATTTGTACTCCCAACCTGCTCCCTCCTCCTAATCCTCCTCATTCTCCTGTGACTGAGCTCTGCTTCTCTTGGAATAAATGGCTTGTTCTGCGCTCATTGTCTGTTTGTGTGCTGCTTGTGTTACTCCTTGAATGACATTCCTGTGCAGAACTTAGCCTAGATTCTCAAATGGCTACTATAGATCGCTTCTAGAACTGTTTCTGTATTTTGATGAAGAAAGAGAATATGCCTTTGCTTTTTAGGTAGTATTAAAATGATGGTTTATTAAAGCCAAACTAAGTTTTGCTTTCTTTAAATTGCCTCTTGTAGGATGCCGGGTTCGTTGAACTGTCCAAAGTGTTCTCAGATGAGACGGTATGTCCGAGGAGTTAGGTGATTGCTAGCAATATGTAGACATCTTAGCCCTGTATCTTATAGTTTGTAGTGTAGTTCTAGTGTTTGGCTTTTCCATGTGGCACAAATCAAACTGTTATTTCTCAATATAGTCTACATTGTTGAAAATACAAATATTTTTGACTTGATCTCACAAAAATCTAAAAATCTTTTCTGCTCAAACTTTTTTGTCCTTCTCCAGAACATGAATCAGATTTTTCATAAAGCACATTCACCTCGTTCATTAATTTGTCTGGTTCGCATGTCATTTTTTTGGCTCTCAGTCATTTGCATATAAGCCTTTATTGAATCTCAGTTCAATACATTGAAGTTTACAGCTACTGTGTTGCCATGTCTAAAGTAAAGTGATGCCATTTCTATATCTGACATTTTCTACATTATTTTTGTGATGACGTTTCACTTAGATCTCTCAGCAGTTACGTTTCTGATCCAGCGCTCTCATTTTCTTGGGAGCAACGTATATTTTATCATAGCAGGAGTATTGTGCAGTGCAACTTTACTATGTTGCTCCAACACAGAGTCAACTGGTGTAAGAAAGCTGCGGTTATGTTCCAACAATGTGTCACCTATATAGTGGATAGATTTATCGTTTGTTTCTAAACCTCAATTGGATTCGACACATACAGTTATGTCTTTTACACACTTGTTTTGACATGATTCATAATTTCCTCCTTACGTCTTTCAGTTCAATTCCAGTTAAAACCAACTGTCAAAGTTGATGTTCTGCTTTATGAGATTAGTACGTGGCTTTGAATGTCTTCAATATGAATTACTAATGTTTTGACTGTGCTCTGCTTTCACCTTCATTATGAACAGAAGTCTGTTAGCACAACAGCCAATTGAATTGGTTTTTATTTTGGTGCAGTTATTCCCTTTTTTATTTATTCTTTTCTGTCAGGTATAAATTTGCTCAGTAGAACAGAGAACAAAGACTCTTTCGGACATGTCAAAGCACATTCATTTCCTGTGAATTTATCCTTGTTCTTAGTTCCACTTTCCCTCTTTTTTTTATTCCTCTGTATTATTTTGGGTAACTTGTCCAATATGCAGCTGTGATTTTGATTATTTGGTTTTGTAAGGTACTTTTTCCTCAACTCTAACACACAATGCTTATGTGTTAGAGCAGGCTTTAAGATGACGTATTAACCATCTTCCTCCGAAATCTGCTGCCTCCTTCTTAAAAAAACTCTGCTGTGACTCGATAATTTTCACTTCCAGGCAGGGAGTCTGACAAGAATCAACATGTCTAACTGTCGCCTGAAGAAATGTTTTTCTACTGAAGTTGGACTTGGAAATTGAAACTTGTGATTGTAAAGTTTGCAAATAAACAGTTTTACTTGAACTGGATCAGGACTTGCGTCGTCGCAGCCTTGTTTTTGTTTTTTGTCCTCGTAAAGTTGCACAGTCACCGTGCTGCATGCAAATGACTGGCTGCTATTATGTTAGCTGTGATTGATATATAAGTGAAGGACATCAAGCTAAAACAAAGCAGCCATCTTGTGGCCCCTGTGTGTGGCAGTAGATCATATAGCCTTTGTTTGTGGTATTGTAAAGTGGCTTGGCACTTTAACAGTCTCTCTATATGAACAAATCGCTGGGTTACTGTTCTCACTAACAAATAGCATCTGCTCTCTTGCTTATCCAGGCTTTTCACACGTGTTCAGACACAAACCAACTTGACACTCCGTTTAGAAACACATGCACTGTTTTCCCTTTTTTAGCAATTTTTCTTCAGTCTTTTCTTTTTGTTTGTTTTATAGCTGCAGCACACTGCCGAGCAGGAGAACACTGAAAAACTCCAGACTTGTCTGTAAAAAGGACGACGTCCATGTTTGTATCATGTGCCTACGTGCCATCATGAACTATCAGGTAAGCTTTCTTTTATCTACAGGGACTACATGACCTTTCAGGCTGAAGAACAACCATCTATTTGAAGCTAAATTCAATTTGCTCCCCTGCTGTCCCTCCATACCTTATTTATCATGTACAATAATATTTAAAGGCTGCCCTGTTTTTAATCTGTTATTTGTCTTTGTCTCCATTATATTTGTGTTGCAGTATGGCTTCAACATGGTCATGTCACACCCGCATGCTGTGAACGAAATTGCACTAAGTCTCAACAATAAAAATCCACGGTAAGATCAAGGAAGAAGTCATAAAAATGTAATTGTTGTTGATTAATCAAAGTGAAAGTTGGCAACACCTTGCAGATAGTTAAAAATAATAGTGAATAAAATTTGTTCTTTTCTTCCAAATATTTTTGTTGTGACTGCTAGTTTATTTTTAAGCAGTTAAATTTCTTACTGCAGTATTCTCAGTTTAAATTTCATTTTTTTGTAAAATTACAACCCTAGTTTCAGAGTATTGTCTGTGTCGCTTTGTACAAGTGCATTTATTGCTCTGAGACACATCCATCAGGAAGGAAGGAAGATAAAAAGCTCTACCAGCAAACTCCTCTACACAGACAGATGCATAAAGATATCACTCCGGGAAAGCCTCTGCTGTGTGCGTGCCTGCATGTGTGTGTGTGGATGGATTGATGCATGTGTTCTCAAACAATGCCCAAAGGTTACAGGATGTCCTGAAAAGTTTATGTGAAACCTCTTTGCATCACATGTCACATATTCTTTCCTTCAGGCAAATAAATCTTGCATCAGTAAAATGAAAACAACACAAACATATTGAAAGTCAACAAATGACATGTTGATGATTTGATGGTTCTGGTATAATCAACATAGCCTTGCAAAAGTATTAACACTACTTTGAACTCTTAAACACGTTGTCACATTACGACCACGATGTTTATTTTATTGGGGTTTTATGTGATGGCAATGCCAGGTAGAGCATACTTTCGAGATGAAAGGGAAATGATTATTATTTTACAAATGAAAGGCTACAATGTGTGGCGCCAATTTGTATTAAGCCTCCCTGAATCAATTCTGTATAAAAACATTATTCATTCCAATTACAGCTGTAGAATATGTAATTTTTATCCATTCTTCTTTGCAAAACAGCTTGATTTCAGTATGATTGTCTCCCTGCACAGATTCTGGATTAAATTTAGGTTATTGTCATGAATATGCTTTGAGCTAAACCTGAAGTGCTCAGAGTACGGCCCAGGGCCATTTGTAGCACTCCGAATTATATTGTTCAGTCCCAGATTACAACTAAAAAATGATATAAATCTGCCCTGCAGCACATGTAGTTGATGCAGATCAGTTTTTAAAAATGCATTAAATTTGGCCAAATGCAGAAAGCTCTTTAATGGACGACTGACCCAAATTCCTGCTACTGAGGAAAGACGAGAATGTTTTTGTAAACCAATATCATCACAATATTCTAAATTTTGTGTTCTTATTTTTTGCCCCACAAGTAGTTTTAGGGTTTAACCTTCACTTTAGTCGGCCATCTTCATGCAGTCTGTTACAGATTTTCTTCCAGTATTGCTCTGCATTTGCCTCCCATCTGTTTTCTCATCAACTCTGACCCATTTTCCTGTTCTTGTTGAAGAAAAGCTTCCCCACAGTTTCACAGTCGAACAAATTGTCAAATAATTAATGTTTTACTGGACAATAGCTCTTGATTAGGATAGTGTATATAGTGTGACGTACAATAGTTTTTTCGCACAGAGTAATATAATCTTACCACTCTCAGAAAATGTATTTTTTCTTAACTCTGCTTTAAAGTTAGACTTTTACTTGCAGATAAAAAAGAAAAACATCCTTCCAATTCAAATTTATCCACTAATTTGTGTTGTTATATATTATAAATTCAGAATAAAAACAGGTTTGTGGTTGCAGCATGAGTGTGGAAAAAATTTATAGTACTTTGCAAGGCACTGCAGTGTTGTTGATGAGGGGTTATTATGATATTTAGTTAATGGTACTGACTTTACACTTTAAGTTTTATATTTGCTTCTCTGCTGGCAAATGCCATTTACTAACCTCTCATGCCATAACTTTCTTTGTGGTTTACAGAACCAAAGCTCTGGTGTTGGAGCTTCTAGCGGCAGTTTGTCTCGTGAGAGGAGGCCATGAAATTATTCTCTCTGCCTTTGACAACTTCAAGGAGGTATGGCCAGCATAGAGAATGGTAAACGAGTGTTCTTTAGGGAGACCCTTAAGTCTTTTCATTCTAACTGTGTCGTTTCAAACAATCATGGCCCTGGAGGAATGCTTCCCCAGCAGATTCCCCCTTGGCATTGCTTCAAAGGGTTCAGAGATACCGGTTTGTCTGGGTAGCACTGGATGACCCACAGGCACCCATCAGACAAAACCACTCTGTGCGTGTTAACAAGATTCGTCAGACGCATCAAAGCTCAGAAAAGCACAGCGACAGATGTTCAAGATAGCCTTCCTGACCTGTGGCTGTCTGAAGGGAGGTATCCTGGCTGCCAGGGAGAGAACTAGGGGCTAACCACAATCTCATTTTGTAGCAAACATCTTATGAGCATAGAGCGAGCACAGTTTATGTAATATTTACACCTCTGAATTAAATATTGAGTGTGGCGCTTTCAGCGACGGTGGCATTAGTGGGAAAGAAGAGTTCACCTAATGAGATGGAGGCTGAGAAATGTTTCTGATGGTGTGAAACCACAGCAGCAGGGTCACAGATTTTGGAAGATTTTTTAATTTTTTTTTTACAATTAGGCAGCACAGTTAGCTTTACTTTAGTGTAAATGATTTGCTGCTACAAAGAACTGGCTGCAGGCAGAAGCTTGAGGTTTTTAAATAATCATGCTTCCTATTTCTACTGAATTCTTTATTATACTCTCTCCCAGTCTGCCTCTCTACCCTCCTAGTGACCTTTCTGATCAGCCAAACATCACTCTACCCCATTTTTACATCTTTCTTGATGTCAAGTTCTATTTTAAATAGGCTTTTTGCCACAAAAACACTTTATATCGGGGATGAAGTTTTCAAAAAGTATACAGTGTTTGCTGTAAATAGGATTAAAGCAGGTGTGTTTGAATAATTTAGATCAGCAGTAAACATTTTGTTTTAAAGGCATTTTCCACCTATACTGGTGGTTCATATGATGCAGCAACTGCTGAAATTTTGAGTCTTCTTACTTTTTACTCTTTTTAGTTATTTTTATGATTATGGTTTCATAATAAGGTCACTAATTTTATGCACTTTTTTTGTGTTGCAGGTATGCGTGGAGTCGCAGCGGTTTGAGAAGCTTATGGAGTACTTCAAGAATGAAGACAACAACATTGACTTCATGGTGAATTAAAATAAACTCGTTATTATGCAGATGCATAAGTATTAGATAACCATAAACAAAAATATAACAGCCTGTAAATATGATTAATTTATTTTTATGTAAAACTGTCTAGTGAATCCAATGTCATGCATATATCATGGAGACTGGTCCACAAAAATCAATAAGGAGAACAGATATTGACGTAATTAAAATAAAAAAATGTTCACACCTACACCTATTTAAACATTTTGAACAACTCTGCAGATACCCTCTTGTTAGACTAAACTTTTGAATAAACATTGAACGATAAAAAAACCTTTCTTTACAATTTTGAGATAAACATTTAGCTGTCTTTGTATTTGTAAGAGTCCAGCCTGACTGATGAAATGAAAACCAGTCAGTGTTGTGTCTGTCTGCCAGACCCCTGGCAAGTTTGTCTCCATCGCTTACAGAAATACCACAGCTGGTAGAACTTGTTGTTGCGTCACTAACCTAAATGATGACAGCAGAATAGGAAGCTGCACACAGTTCATATTTATTTATCTTCGATTGATTGATCTCTTACTGACATAATTATTGTATTATTTACCTGTTCCACTTCAGCATCATAGGACAGAATATTTGCATCCAAACTTGTTGGAGTTCATGGACTTTTTGCAATAAAAAGCAGCAAGAATCTGCAAGAGAGATGATTTGTCAGTAGATCTGTTGACATATTAATGTATCATCTTATCCTGTACAGTGTTATAGGAGAATGCAAAGTACTTTCTTATTGGTAAATGGGGGTTGTACAAGTATTGACACAGGCATGCCAAAAATGTTTTCAACTGCAAAGTACAATCTTTTTTCTTTCCCTTGGAGAGTCGGTATCTGTTATAAAGTGTGAATTTATTTTCAGAACCTTATACATATTTAACGGACCACAACAAAATTTGTCAAAATATGTGAATGATAGTAGCTTTCTTATTTTCATCAATGAGATTATATTAGGCATACTTGTCTTGAAAGTGTAATACCATGTGTGCTACTTTCACTCAGCTTTATTATGCTGCCAGAATCCTCCACCGGAAATCAGAATATTGAGCATAAATCAAATTGTGTAGCATTATATGTATTCAATTTTAACTTATCTCTGCTAATAAAAAATGCTGTCTCTTTACGTTCTTCAGGTTGCATGTATGCAGTTCATCAACATTGTTGTGCACTCAGTGGAGGACATGAACTTTAGAGTTCACCTACAGTACGACTTCACCAAGCTGGGCTTGGACGACTATTTGGATGTGAGTTGAGATTTACACAGAACTCCTTCTGAGTGTTCCCAGCTAAAAGTCCACAGTTCCTGCTACAACTACTGCACCCCTGAGATGTCCACCGTAGAGAAGCCATCAATAACGGCTTTTCTGTTTTTTTTTTAACAAACCTTCATACATTGTGATTGGTGCATGCCTTGGGAAAGAAAGTGGACTTTAATCACTATTTTGTGCCTGTTTAACAGAAACTGAAACATACAGAGAGCGATAAGCTCCAGGTTCAGATCCAGGCCTACTTGGATAACGTGTTTGATGTTGGAGCGCTACTTGAGGATGCAGAGACCAAAAATGCTGCCCTGGAGCGAGTGGAGGAGCTGGAGGAGAACATGTCGCATGTGAGGACCCACAAGTGTTATTTTAATATATATATATAAAAAATCAACATTCATTTAAGTATTTATTATACATACCTTTTTTGTAACTTGCACTAACATTTTTATTTGCTCCGATGTCAATTTGTGCAATGTAAAGTCGTTCAGGATTGTCTTTGAGTCAGTACTGAACGACGCAGTAAATCTTGAATTAATGCTCTGACATTTTGCATAAATTTTCTCCATGATCTGATGTTCCCCTCTACTGTAAAAGGTTAAATGCTCATTATAATGTTTTCTGTCATAGCAAACTGATGTATCTGCAAAAGATTAATCTCCTGAAAATGTCTAACTTATGAAGATAGGAACACAATCAATGCATTACATCACTGCCCTCCATGACCTTTTTTGAGTTAGATATTGTCTCTGCATCATGTTCATCTGTGACCTTTGCCCCCTTTCACTCTGATAGATGACAGAGAAGCTGCAAGACATGGAGAATGAAGCTATGGCCAAGATTGTGGAGCTGGAAAAACAGCTGATGACGAGGAACAAGGAACTTGAAGGCATCAAAGTCAGTTCTTACTCCCAACTTTGTTTTTGTTTTTTGTTTTACTTAAATCTTCATTACTTGTTGGAAATATGGTGCATCCACTGTTACGTTTCCCTGCAAAAGGATTGATAGCCTTAGGTCACAACCACAACCCACTTGTATTTTAATAGGCTAACACAAAAAAAATGGAAAGAACATGATGCATACATTTTACACTTTTTCACTGCTGCATTAGATTATAAATAGCACACTACTATTACTTCCGAATATCTCTAGCTCTTCATTTTCCCTTTCCTACCCCATGCAGGAAGTCTACAAAGACTCCACCTCGCAGATTCACTCGCTGAGGCTGATGCTTAAGGAGAAGGATGAGGCCATCCAGCGCCAGAGTAAGCTGGAGAAGAAGATCCACGAGCTGGAAAAGCAGGGAACCATCCGGATCCAGAAGAAAGGAGATGGAGACATCTCAATCCTGCCTTCTTCGCTGCCCGGTGTGGAGGGTCTGCCGGGTACCACAGTGGGGGCAAACGGGACGGCTGCCTGTCAGAACAATGCAGGAGTTGTAGGAGGCATGTCTTCTGTACCTGCTCCCCCTCCTCCACCTCCTCCGCCACCAGTCAATGGGCAATGTAGGTTTATAATATAATCAACAATATATTGACAACCCAAATGAATAAAAGTGGTTTAGAAAAAAATCAAGATTTAAGGATATTTTGCGTCCTTAAAAATGTTTGAAGAAAACAAATGGTTCATGTTAATCTCTCGTTGTCTCTCCCAGTGCCAAATGGACCATCGATGGAAATTCCCACTGCAGCTGCCGCACCTCCACCGCCGCCACCTCCTCCACCGCCATTACCGCCCCCCGGGTTTCCGTCAGAGATTTCTGCCCCTCTGCCTCCTCCACCTCCACCTATGGCGCCCCCGCTTCCCGGAAGTGGGACGCCCACTGTGATCATGAATTCAGGATTGGCAGGTGAGGTTAATTTATCCTGTGGTTTTCTTATCTTTTTTTTGGTTACATTAACAGGAATTTAAGATTTATGAGCTTTATTGGACTCTTAAGTTAAAGATTAAATTAAAACATTTTGTCTCCTAAATTACCCCCTCTCTGAACTGTTAAGTCTTAAGTTAGATGTCTAATTTCTTTTAGGGTTTGTTTGTTTTTTTGTTGTTTTTTTTTAATTGGTGCGTCCCACAATTACAGCTTTAGGTGTGTTTAGGTTAAATCACAATGACACTTTGAATAAACTCAGTATGCAGATGAACCTGTAAGATCTGCATGTACATGTGGGTGTCTTGTTGCTGCTACATATACATGTATATGAGTAAGCCGACTTTGTTATCCTGTGAAAACTGAAACCTGAGTTGAAAACTCTTGCCTTAGATTAATGATGTTCTCACCTGTGGTGTCTGTAGTATTTACTCATATAAACATCGTCACTGTTCCTGGTCGTTATGCTAACCCATCTTTGAATTGTTTTCTTTCCCCGCCAACCAGAGGGACCCATCAAGCTTTTCTGTAGGTTCTTGCTGTCGAGTTTAATGTCGTGTTTTCCCCCCACACCATTAACCATGTCATACATGTATTTTCCCCTGTAGTGGTTTCTCATTGGTTTTAAATGTGGTATCCAGCAGGTAGAGACACCACTGCTGAAATTACTTTTAGCTGTAATTTCAGGAAGAGGTGGTTGTACAAAGCACTGACTCTGAAGTGTAGAAAAATGCAAAGCTCGCATATTTTTATTTGAGAAGACAAAAAACTGAAAAAATGCTTGATTTTCCTTCCAGTTGCTCAATGAAATACTAAGAGTTTGAAAAATGTAGATACTCCTGAATGTACACAGTGAGACAAGTGAAAGATCCACTGTGAACCCTTTTAAAAAACAAAATACCACATTCAAAACTTGTGAATGGTTTATCTTCACTCTTGACTGTAGTGCTTTGACCGTTTTGTATGAATGACGTGTCACAATCTTAAAAACAAGTTTGTTGCATGCAGATACTCATTGAGCTGCTGTGGCATGCAGATGGTTAAGTTGATAGAAATCGTCTGCAGCCGGAATGCTGTTTGCCTTTCCCATGATGGCCTTATCTCTCACTGCGTTGCTGCTGACACCTTGTCGGTACCCTGATGCAGGACGCCGCCTCAACGTTCCGCTTCAATGGAGCAGCTCTTGTCGCTACAAATAGCTTTAATCTGCACAACAAATAGTTTGACCCCAGGCCTGGCGAGTAATCCTGGACCATATGCACAATTTAGTGAACAGATATAGCCTTTGGCCTTATTCCTCTGCCAGGAGGCAGGAGGCTCAGCTTGAATAAAGAGAAGAAGGAAGCCATCCTGTTTTAATTGATGGACATTTGTGTTCTCTGCTAAAACATTTGAAGTGTTCAAAATGAATGTTTTCAGAAATCAGATGTTTCTTGTTACAGATCCCCCTGCTCCTGCATGTGTGTGGCTGCATTTTCATGGGCCCTTACAGTCAATCAAGACATATTTTTAATTTCTCTTTGTGTCATTTAGCTGTTAAGATCAAGAAACCCATCAAGACAAAGTTCCGCATGCCTGTCTTCAACTGGGTAGCCCTGAAACCAAATCAGATCAACGGGACCGTCTTCAATGAGATCGATGACGAGAGGATACTCGAGGTGAATTCCCGCCCTCAGAACAGGCTCTCTATTTCGACCTGCTTCCTTTCCTAATGAAAAAAAAATTACATCTTTGGTGTCTTTTAGGACCTGAATGTTGATGAGTTTGAGGAGATGTTTAAGACTAAAGCTCAGGGCCCAACCATCGACCTCACCACGAGCAAGCAGAAGGTCACTCACAGGGGACCCAACAAGGTGGCCCTGCTGGACTCCAACAGGGCAAAGAACCTGGCGATCACACTGAGGAAAGTGGGCAAGACGACCGAGGAGATCTGCAAAGCCATTCAGCTGTAAGCCTCCAACATTTGCTTGTGTTTGTTTATTTTGCATTTATCTGATTTAGAAGCAGTATTAGTGAAATGACAAAGCATATAAAAGGGTTCATGTGCAGTCTTTAAAAATCCATTCTTCTTTCAGAAAAAGTATGAAAAAAAGAAAATTTGGGATGAAAATAAATGTTTAGATTTCCACAGTTAATCCATCATTCAGTTCAAAATTACTTCAATATATTTCTAATACAAGTAAAAAGTAGTCGTTTTTTAGTAAAGATATATTTGGTAAAAAAAAAAAAAAGGCCACTTTGGTACAGGGTAACTTTTTATCATAACATCTGCTTTATCTTGTGAATGTGATGTAATCAGACAAAACGTACATATTTTAAGATTAAAATAAAAATGAGCAAAAAGAAATAACATCATTAAAAGATGACAAATTCAACTCAGAGCTGTAACAGAAAAAATATAAATAGTAAGCTACAACTAACAGTTGGAAATCAGATACAAAACAAAATGTCTGGATTAAAGTGTAGATGTGTTACATTTTACTAAATGTAACCTCTTGCTTCTATGCGGCGGGTTCCTCGTCTCCATATCTCCTTTAGATTCGACCTGCGGACTCTTCCGGTAGATTTTGTGGAGTGCCTGATGCGCTTCCAGCCCACCGAGAATGAGGTCAAAATCCTGCGACAGTTCGAGAAGGAGCGCAAGCCTCTGGAGAGCCTGACTGACGAGGACCGCTTCATGATGCAGTTCAGCAAGATCGAGCGGCTCATGCAGAAGATGACCATCATGGCCTTCATCGGAAACTTCAGCGAAAGCGTGCAGATGCTCACGCCGGTGATTAAGAGAGTATGACTCGATATTTGTCGTTTGTTGATGAGTCGTGAAATTGATGTGTCAAACTTTGCTTCTCTGCAGCAACTTCATGCCGTCATTGCGGCATCTGTGTCCATCAAGTCATCTCAGAAGTTAAAGAAGATTTTAGAGGTAACTGGAAAAATTTAGTGTTAGCAGAGTATGCTGTCCTGCAGACATAGGGTTTAGTTTGTGATCCCTGTTTACTTATACTGCAGATTATTTTGGCACTTGGAAATTACATGAACAGCAGCAAAAGAGGAGCAGTGTATGGATTCAAGCTGCAGAGTTTAGATTTGGTAAGCTGGTTTTAAAGACGGTTTAAGTTACACGTCCTAACTTTTTCTTTTGTTAAAATATAATATTTCTATTTTTTTCCCCCCTCAGCTTCTTGATACAAAGTCAACGGACCGGAAAATGACCTTGCTGCACTACATCGCCAACGTGGTCAAAGAGAAATACCCACAAGTGTCTCTGTTCCACAATGAGTTGCACTATGTTGAAAAGGCAGCAGCAGGTGGGCATCACCTTTCATCTATTAATCAAACAATTCCATGTTTTATGCAATCCTGTGGTGTAACGTTCTCCATGTGCTCACAGTGTCGCTGGAGAACGTCCTGCTGGATGTTAAGGAGCTGCAGAGAGGCATGGAGCTGACCAGGAGAGAGTACAGCATGCACGGTCACAACACCATGCTGAAAGACTTCATCACACACAATGAGAGCAAGCTGAAAAAATTGCAGGATGATGCCAAAATTGCACAGGTAACACTGAATAACGGAGAAAAATCTTTCTCTCAGCGATTGTTTAAATATTTCATCGCTGAAGCTGCATTTTGTTTCTCCATCTTCAAAAAAAGGACGCCTTTGATGAGGCTGTGAAGTTCTTCGGAGAGAACTCGAAGACAACGCCGCCGTCTGTTTTCTTCCCAGTGTTTGTGCGATTTGTGAAAGCTTACAGGGTGAGTTGGTCGGAAACTTCAATGGTTTTATTAGAATTCGAGCTAATAGTAAAACAAATTTGCGTGGTGAAGGAAAAGGGATAAATGTTTTTCACCAATGAAATCTAAAAATGTGTGTACTTTTGTTCAACTTTCTTCAAAAAATAACATAGAAACATAAGTTTGATTTGAGCTTAAACTAATTTGCAAATAAAAATGTACAGCATCTGAGAAAAGGTCAATTGCGCCCCCTGGAGAGCTTAAAATTAATTTAATTTAGAAAATGCTCATTTATGCAGATCACTAAAATACTGGATGAAAAAAAAGCTGTTAATGGTTTTCCTGTACTGATTAAATCAAAAATACCTAGGGTAAGAAATTAATTTGTAAATGTTTTTTTCTTTTATTTATAATGAAAATAAATTGGTGACTCATCAGCAAGCGGAGGAGGACAATGAGCACAAGAAACGGCAGGAGCAGCTCATGATGGAGAAACTTCTAGAACAAGAGGCTATGATGGAGGAAGACCAGAAGGTGAGTTAATCTTTCTTTGAACTCCTTTGCTCCCTCCACTGAGGATCACAATGACCAGAAGGGAATCTTGCTCCACTTCCTCCAGATTCCGATCTGGAGGATTAGTCGAGCGCAGGCCGCCTGCTGGGCACGGTTGTATTTAGCTCCAACAGCAAGACTCCCTGCTGAGGAACAACAGTCAGGATCAGTGACTGTTCAATTAACTTGCATGAGGAAGGGATGTGATGTGGGAGAAGAAGCTTGTTGGTGGTGAACCTTGTTGTGTGCGTGTTCCCGCAGTCTCCCTCCCATAAAAGCAAGCGGCAGCAGCAGGAGCTGATCCAGGAGCTCAGGAGGAAGCAGGTGAAGGACAGCCGTCACGTCTACGAGGGCAAAGACGGCGCCATTGAGGACATTATCACGGGTAACATCACCAGATTCAAGCTGCAGCCTGCAGTCAATCACACATGTTTAATACTCTGCATGAAGAGTCACTTCAGCTTGAAACAAAGAAAATTTCTAAGCCAACTAACACAATGATTTCAACTCTTTTTGAAGTTCAACTTGTAGCCAATTGAGGCAGTTGGTTCAGTGCTTCTCGACTGAAAGGTGCCTGATAATAATGACTTATGTTAACTTCTTCACCTTTGCTTTATAACACCAACTGTATGTGGGTATGTGGGCTGTCTCCGAATGTCAGTCAAAACTAGAAAATAATTTTATTTTACTTTCATAACAAGGAGACATTAAACTTCCTGTGGTGAAGTCTGAAGAACAATTATTAATTATTAATGATAGGTGTTTTTTCTAATAACTAGATACACATCAAGCAGACAGCCAGAGATTGGAGTTGAGCTTTTTTTTTTTCTGTCACATAACATGAAGCATTTTTGTTTCAAGCATGCAGAGAGTGACAGTCCTTTAACTGTGTACCTTTTGTTTTGAGAAAATCATTTTTACTTTAGAAAAGGAAAACAAAAGTATACTGAATCCTGTTTTAGTTTTCAAAATCAATTTTATGTTTCTAAAACTGGTAGGTCAGCGTTCTACAAAATAGATCTGTCACAACATCTCAGATCAGTGCATCTACAAAGTGCATCTACAAAGAATAAATCAGCACAAAGATATTATTTGAAAACCAAAATGGATTCAGGCCAACACAATCTTTGACACAATTCCACTTCACTTGAAGATGGAAAGAAAAAAACAACACAAGGATATGAACAAAGAACACATATTCTAAAAATGTTTTTTTATATTTTTCTTTGTTTTTAAATGTAATGCATTTATATAACAAGCCCTTTTAACAAATTCGGTCATTTAAAGTACTATTGCAATGTATGAGCTTTTCCAAAAATAATTTACTTATCACAGTTTGTCGCTTAATTTCTAAATGTAAGCATGTTGACAAAATTTTTAAAAAAGTCATGGATAAAAATGAAGACCTTGAAATGTTTTTGGGTTTTCCAACAGTTTAGTTTAACTATCGTTCTTCTCTCAAAAGGAATGGGTCAGGTGCAGTTCTATTTTCTGCATCCATATTGGAACAGATTAGATTTTTATAGAGTAAAGATGATAAACTAGTCTGTGTGCAAACATTTTTATACAAAAAGTATCAAAATAAATGAATAGCTAAAACACCTAATGCACCACACATGGGAATGCGTTTCACTTAAAGTAAAACTTTGTTGCTTCAATTGTTTCACTGGGAAATGTTTTCAGTTCCCTCTGAAAACATTGTGGGAATGTCCATTTACATTTACATGTTAAACTTTCACAATGTTCAGTTTTTTTTAGTGTATTCTTAGTGATTGCACAGTAATGTGCAGAAGTTTTAAACAGCAATCCCAAATTTCAATGCATCTTGATTCCAGGGGTCAGAGCTTGTGATTCTTTAATGTGATCCTGATCAATAGATCGCCAGGCTTTCTATCGGTTATTAAAAATGCAGCATTTGAAAAAAGCCACTTTTATGTACACTTGTGAAATTAGCGTAGTACTTTTTTTATTTTATTTTTTTTACAAATATTGATTCTGTACCCTTCATTTTATCTATTTAGTTCTAATTCACAACAGATATTCTCCACAGGCACTCTCCAAGCAATAGAAAGTAAAGTGATTTACATACATTCCAATTTAATCTCATTATCAGACAGTGCAGTCGAGTTAAGTTCATCATTCAAATCTTAAGTTTGCTATTTAAAGTTACCCACCAAATTGCATCAAGTTATTGATTTGCAGAATTCACTCCTATTGCCATATAATATTGGATAATTGCATTATTGACTGTGCAGCAATCACTCATAATGACAATGCATGTAGCAACAGCACGAAGGAAAAAAAAAAAACTTCCCCTTAGCAGGAAGAAACCTCCAGCAGAACCAGAACTGGCTCAGTGCAAATGGAAATAGTTAGTTACTGAACTAAAAACAAAGTTTAAAAACAGGGAAAAACAGCCAAACTTTGAGAACTTTAAATATTCATCAGGTCTGGAAAACTGTTAAACAAGATCACGTTAAAATAATTACAACAACATTTGCCTGCTTTTACACGGGACTGCATCTTTAAATAATACTAATTACTCAGTTTGAGTCTCTGATATGTTGTTTTATAATCTGTGCGGTTTAAGTAATTAGCAAAATAAAAATGGGGTTGTAGAGTTGGCTTCCAAACTCATTTCTCCTGTAGCTGGGTTCTTGCTCAGTGCTAACCGTTGCTCCATCCAGCGGAGAAGACCTGCTTTTCTCATGCCGTGTTTGTCTTGATTTGTGTCCTGGCTATTCTCCCTGTCGTCTCAATGCAGTGCTGAAGACCGTGCCCTTTACCGCCCGCACAGCCAAGCGCGGGTCTCGGTTCTTCTGCGAGCCCGCTCTCAATGAGGAGTACCATTACTAAAGCTTGTAGATCTCTGTCTCTTCTTAAAGGTTGCTGGAACAAAACGTTTCTTCTTTATGTTCTTCCCTTTCTTGCATGCCTCTTCACTCCCACCGACCCCCTCTTAACCGTTTACACTCCCACACTGTGGACACGGTGGTTTCCCAGGGACACACACACACACACACACACGCTCACTGAAGCTTGAGTGTGTGTTGTGTAGATTTTCATATTTCTTAAGCATGACAGTGTGTTTTGGGAACTGGTTTTCTCGGCTCACCTGCATGTATTCAGTATTTTTCATCATCATTTTACCCACCACAGCAGACCATAATGTCACAGAAAGATCAGCATCCCACGGAGTGAACTTTTCCCCTCAGTTAGCGTCACTCAGGTCAGGTTGTGTGCTGCCATCTGCTGGCCATCCATCTAACATGGTCAGCAGGTTGCGGCTCAGTTTGCATATCCAGTACTACATACAGTATTCATATATGTACACCTCAGGTATGACTAATACTATTACATGTAAGTGCCTGTGGCATTATCACTTGCTTGTTTGTGTGCTCCAAAGTTTTAATGATAAATCATTGTGTGTGTTAATTTATCACATGTCATCACCGCTGTTTATACAGTTTGTTGCATGCTGTTTGTTTTAACCTTGCTGCTTTCCCACAATGCACTCTTGCTCTTGTAGTTAGCTTGCCCTCGCTCCTGACGGCTCATTCTTCAGTCAGAAAGTTTCTGTGCTCTTACTGTGCCTTGCAAAAGTATTTTAATTCATTTCCTTTGATTGTACTTTTTGACATTACATCCACAAACTTGAATGTACTCTGGGGGGATTTTATGGAATAGACTTGCACTAAGTAGAATCCAGTTTTGAAGTGGAATAAAAATAACAGATTTAATTAGATTTTTCCTCTATAAGGAAAGCCTGAAATGTGTGGCCTGCATATATATTCAGTCCTCTGTACTCTAATAACCCTAAAAAGATTCCAGTTATACTATTTATACATTTTTCTTTTGTCGAAGATTAAGAGCAAATAAATTATTGAAAGCAAGCCATAAGAAATGGGCGATAGCCAAGAACATGGCAGAAGTGTGGACGGCTTGCCATATGTGCTAGCTGCTGTCACGGTGCATGATCTTGTAATGGCTCCCCAAACAAAAAACTGTTGTCCAGACAACGTGGACACACCAGGATAGTCCAGGGCAGTATGAAGAAAATCGTGGTAGGTGGAACATCCTACCATGTTCCACCAGCAGGATTGTGAGTTGGTTTTTTGTTAAATGGCTTGTGGTGAAGTACTAATAGGATTTGCATTACGGTTTCCACTTCACTACTTTTTGCTGGTTCATTGCAAAAAATCCCAAGATAATAAAGTTTGTGGTTGTAATGAGAAAATGTTGATATACATTTGGATGGAAAGACTTTTGTAAGACGCTGTACATTCTGCATGCTGTCTTGGTAAAACTGTGTGCACTAACTGTCCTGGAACCATGTTCTGTGCTGCATAATGCTGTTAGTGAGTGTATGCTTGGCTGAGTGCATGCTTTGGTTGGGTTTTGGTGCTGGTTCTGCTAAATATAACAACTGGCCTGTATGTTTGGAGCCATTCTTTATTGTTTACAGTCACTCCTAACTGGAAGTTTGAAATGAGCTTGTCTCCTTATACGCTGGTAGCCACTTTGCTAAAGCAGTTTGGGTCTAGCAACAGAAATGAAACAAGCTTCCGTCATCCTGTGCAGTTGAACCAGTTAACATCCTCCAGCTCTGTCCTCTGAGCCTCTCTTCCTGCAGCCTCTCTGCCTTGCTCCAGCAGTTTGCAAAGCCAAAGTGCACATGTTGAGCTGACATGCACCAGTCAGCCCACGTCTTCCTTTTATTTTTAACCTTCATTTTGTCTTTTCTTCATCCAGAACTAAAGAAGAATAATATTACTAAATTTCCAAATGTCTACTTGAGGGTAAGGAAGTCCTCCAGTAGCACCCCTGTAGTGGTGGATGTGGCCCAAACCTGGCAAGCATTTCTTTATTACCTCCCTTCCTGCTTCAGATTTTTTGTTTGTTTAGGTTCCTCTTATCCATCTGTTTAGCCTGAATATAAGAAGTCTTGCTTTCTTTAGTTGTTTCTTCAATCTTTTATTAAACATATATGCATCTTGGATTCACAAGATGTATGAAAAGTTTCTGGTTTCATAAACCATCTCAGCCAGACTTGTTTTATTCTGTGTGCTTAGATCTCATGCTGCTTTGAAAAGTTAGGCTACCAGCACTCTTGAACTTGTGGGTGGGCACATGAAAGACCCAAACATTGACATGATCCCCTGACTTAACGCTCTTCTATCCCGTCCTTTCCCCGCTTCCGCCAGATTTGAGGAATCAGCCTTACAGGCGAGCGGACGCCGTGCGGAGGAGCGTCAGAAGGCGCTACGACGATCAGAACCTGCGGCCGATGAACAATGGAGAAGTGGTCATGTGACGAGGGGAAACAGAGGATGTGCAGGAGAGGATGGGAGGAGAGGAACGTGGATGGACGGTGGGAAGGAAAGTCCAATGCAGAACGAAGGATATCGGGTGTTTGTAGCAAATAACGAGAGGACTATAAATGTGCTAATATCACACAATGAAGGACTGAGACGTGTTTGGGACCGAATTTAGGGTAGAAATCAAGCCAAGTGCCTGAACTTTTTTTGTTTTGTGATCTTTTTTTGTCTTCTGTGTGAATGTTTTAATTATAACTCCAGTCCCCCGGTACCCATAAGCAATACAACTTGAGTTGGCTTTAATGTTAAGATATAAAACTGGACATGCAGTGGCCTTAGGAGCCATGTGAAACAGTTATCCTGGAAAAGCTACCTTAGAATGTACTGGAAGTTTTTGCCCCTTTCCTCTGTTTCTTGACTTTTGACACATTCCGGTGCTCTCGTTCATTCCCCACAAACGTTTTTTAATCATCTCATTCTTCTTTTAATAAATCGGGGTGAGCTGGCATGAGGAAAGTGAGCAAAATGTATTTAAGACTATATTTTTACTAAAATATGTTTAAAAAAAAGTTAAAATATGCTGAAAAAAATAGACCACTCTAATGTGAACTGTATTTATTGCCGACATCTACGTACTTTCTATAGCGCCTGGCAAAAGTATTTGTACTGCTTAAACTTTTTGTTTTTATTTGGAATTTATGTTATAGATCAACACAAAGTGGTGAATATTTGAAGGACACTAAATCATGGTTTTAGAAAAGAAATTGACTTAAAAAGTGTGGCATGCACTTATTTTCATGTGCCTCTGGCACATGAAAATAACACTCTCCTTTACTCCTTACCTTATAATCTTTCTCAAGGAATGTAGTTGCATTTTTGATTTGACTGTCATAAGGCAACAATCTACTTGTGCACCTTCTTTCAAATGTTGGAGTTGATTTTGTGATGTAGATGCCTAGGACTATGTAAGTGATGCTTTCTTGAGAATCAATATAGATAAAAATAAAAAGAGAAGTAAAAAAGAAAATAACACCATAGTACAAAATACCCCAAAGAGTGCTATATGAGCGCAAACAAAATAATATTAACAGTGGTTCCCATATATAGCTTTTTGGTGATAAAACACATTTATTTAGAAAATGTAATTCCTTCATCCACAAAGAAACATTACACTATAACAAAGGACAGAAAAAAGAAAAAGACAAAAGAAAAAAACCATTATAGTAGACAATAAGCCAGGGAGTGCCAAATATACATAAATAAAATAATATTAAAAACAATAGCTTCCATATGTAGAGTTTAAGGACATAAAAAACATTTTCTGTAGAATTAGATAATGTAATTCTTTCATTCACAAAGACCATGACATAAAAACAAAGGACACAACAAAGAAAAAGACAGAAGAAAAAAACACCATGATAGACAATAAGATAGGGAATGCCAAATAAACACAAATCAAATAATACCAACACCAATGGCTCCCATTTTTAGGAGAAAAAACACATTTTCTCTTTCCTCAAGAAAAGTATCCGTCTTGTTTTCAGAAAGATCTTGTAATGAAACTGCGCTTTCTTCAACGATACTGTCACCAGATGTCATTTTCTGTAGAACCAAGCTTACGTCTTCTTTCTTGATGGTCGCTGCTTCAGAGAAAACTTCCCCAGCAGGGGAAGGATAGAAAGAAAGAGAATCGATGACGATGTTTCCAGACGAGTAAACTTCCCCAGCCGGGGAAGGATCGAAAGGAAGAGGATCGAACTCATCACTACTGGAGAAGCAAACCTCCCCAGCCGGGGGAGGTTTGGATCAAATAGGAAAGAGTCAAACTCATCATAAATAGAAAAGCAAACTTCCCCAGCCGGGTAGGTTTGCATTTCATTCAAGGAAGGGTTGAAAAGGAAAGAATCAAAATCATCATAACCAGACAGATCAGAAAGATAAGAATCACAAATATCGTTATCTGAGAAGCAAACCTCCCCAGCCGAAAACATCGTACTCAGATGGAGTGTTCTTTTCCTGAGAGGTACCTCTTTCGTCTTCTCCACCAGGAAATAGTTGATCACATAATTTCCTCATTCCAGTTGTAACAACATAACCGATGCCAAAACCAAGAGGAAAACACAAGCCGACTAGCATTTCCGCCATCGTGAAAATTCTTGTGATGAAACAGTGCTGAGTTTCAAAGAGTTGGTTGAATATGAACTGGTGTTCTGAAACACAAGCATTTATAGCCTCAGGTGTTCTTTGATCTAGAGCCGCATGTCATAGATGAGGTCTCAAAATAAACAAGAATGGTTGTAAATAGCTATGATGTTTGATTCTGGGGAAGAAAGAGTAGGGAATGTTTTATAGGTTGTTTTTAGCCCAAAACTATATGTAAAACAACATCCTTGGGACTAAACCGAGTCACTAAAACCAACTTGATTCAGGAACAAGTGCAAGTTGTAATTAGGCAATGAAAAATAAATCAATTAATCACATGATAAATTCAAACTATCAACCTCATTTCAATTATCAGCTTTATCATTTCTTCTGGCCTTTTTCTCTTTCTGTTGTTGATACTGAATGAAAAAAGGCTCAACTCCAGTGCTCTCCACTGACCCTGCCATCCTCATTTCCTTAGTGTAATGCCCAACGCATTACACGCTCTTGGAGCTGTCGGCCGATTGTCACTGAAATTTGTCGAGCCCACTTCAGTTTTCTTTTTTTTCCAATTCCACAAATGAGCACTAATTTGTGTTGATCTATTGTTTAAAATCAGAATGGGATACAAACACTTTTGCAAGACACCACATATTTGCTGGTATATTCAATGAAAAATAATCAGATTTTGTAGTTTTTAACTGAAAACTGTTCCTACTTCAACTTCAATTTAAATATTTGCTTTAGTTTTAAATCAACAGCCTTTTCTGTGATTTTGGGAACAACGTATGAGAACTAAACAAGCCTAAGCCAACATAACTCTTACGATGTTCTTAAACTACCCCACATAATGACTTTAGTAAAACTTGATACAACTGAACAATAAGTTGCTACTGTCTTCTCACTTTACTGTATTTTTAATGTATAGTATTTAACCACTGAAACAAACCATTAAAGCTTTTCATATTGTGTGTTTGTCATTAAAGGCATGACCACACAAAATTTTCCTGTACAGATATTTTTCTACATTTTTTTTTACTTACTTTGTCAGATGGTTAATAATGTACATATTGTTAAAACAAGTATTCTTTGCCTTGTGCTATACAACTTTGAATGTTATTTTAACTTATAGTTTTGTTGTTGTTGTTTTTTTTCAGTTTTTGTGTATTTAAATAAGCCAAATGCAGGCATAAATCCACAATAGTATGTTTTAATCAGAATATTTCACTGTTGCACAGAAGGCACGGGATCATTACGTTTGTTTGGGTTGCAGGTGCATCACTAAATGCTCTGATATAAAAGCATTAACACATTTCAGCTGAATGGCCACACTAACCATCAAAACTATTAGTTGGCCTGTAATGAACTGACAGAGCGATACTGCGTCCTGTTAAAGATAGTGCTATTCTGCTTGTTTTTTTTTCCTCTCAGCTTCACTGTGTTTAATTACATGATGCTTCCAACTGGGTGGTACTGGCAATTTCTCCTCTCACTACAAATGTATTGTAGACCGGTCTCAGTTCTAAATAACCCTGTTTTTATATCATTCAATAGGTGATAAGAGATTTTCAAGATATATAAAGAACTATTTACACTGAATAAAGGGTTGTGTGTTGTGGATTTGTTGCAAATTTTGACGTTTTATTCCCGCAGCCAGGTATTTTGTAATGAAGATCACAAAGTTCACAATTAAGTAATTTAGGTAATTGATTGTATGAAAACAGTTTCTATTGGTGGCACTTTCTGTAAGATGTCGTTTTTTTTTTGTTTGTTTTTACAAACTACTTCAGCCTTACAAAAAGTCTAAATTAATAGGCCATATTACGTGGAAAGCCACAAATTGACCCACAAAAACAATTTGAAAGCAAAGCTAGCTGCTGATAAAAATCTGAATATAAAAAGTCACAGTAAAACAAAGAAAAAAAGTGTCACAAATGCCAATGACAAAACATAATCTCTTATTTAGTGGGCAATGATTCTAGGCTCCCGCCTCCCAATAGAAAATCAGAACTTAAAACAGGAGCCACTATCAATTTTATTTTAGTAGCAATATATTTGGATGTAGTGACATTTTGCATTTACAGTGGTTGGCCAGTAGGTGGCATCGTAGGGACTCGTACATAAAGTTAAATGATGTGATTTATAGTTTAAGACTGTAGGAATAATCCAGCCTTAAAAACGCAAAACGGAAGTAGCATCCGCTAATCTTTAATGCAGTTATACTGCTGAAGTTTAATTATGACTATTTTTGAGGCCAGTGGGAGGAGTCCAAGTTAATTTTCATCATATTCATCTTCTCTGGAGATGTTTTTTTGCGCTCTATACCCATGATGAATAAAGCTTCTGACGGAACAAACTGAGCTAATTAGTGTTGATTGTCTATTAGCCAAAAGTGTAACTGGGTAAAGAAAGCAACCTTCACTGTTATTTTTTTCAGGGCACTGATTGGTTAAGAGGTGACCCATTCATGGTCACCAATCCACTTTTTGAAGTCTGGCCTCCAACTCCTTGATATAATCCAGAGCTTCATCAAGTGCACCTGTAAAACCACAAAATAAAATAGCAAAACATACAGTTAGCAATAAGTTTTAATTATATATTTGAAACATTACTTCTGTTTAGATCAGTACATGTTGTGAGTCGGAGCATGTGTCTACTGACTTATTTTTTCCACAAAATACATAACCACAAAATTTTATTATTATGTGATCATAAAAATATTATTATTGCAACAGTTATATTTTACTGAAATCCAATATACTATCTTTTACCTGCGGGTGGATGTGCCGTGTAGTCATGGTCCGCAGTAGAATCTTCAGCCTGGCTAGCTTTCTGAGAGGACAAACTGCCGTTTCTTAGTCCTCTCGAAATCAGACTCTCATTGCCGGTGCAGTGAAGTTATTCCAGATAAACAGGGAAGGAACAGCTCCACTTTTAAGGCGGCTGGTGGTGGATCCGCTCACAAAATCCTCCGGTGTGAAGTGGCGGCTACATACGAAAGTGCTCCGTCTTTATGCAAAAGTCCGGACCTTCATCTCTTCGGATGGAATGGATCCACTGCCTCCGTTGGTCCGGGTCCGTCAGGAACGCATGATATGATAGATAAGGCTGTTTTCTTGCCCCACATGAACAACCAGGGACTGAACAAAAATAACTGCGCCGATACTGAGCCATTTTCCTAGCCTTTTAATGCTAACGCTATAGCCACCGGAAGTTGTCCAACCCCACATCCGGCCCGGCTCCGCGCATGCGCACATCCGGCCCGGCTCCGCGCATGCGCACAACCGGCCCGGCCCCGCGCATGCGCACATCCGCCCCGGCCCCGCGCATGCGCACATCCGCCCCAGCCCCGCGCATGCGCACTACCGCCCCGGCCCATGAGCACATCCGCCCTGGCCCATGCGCACATCCGCCCCGGCCCATGCGCACATCCGCCCCGGCCCATGCGCATGCGCACATCCATTTCGGCCCCGCGCATGCGCACATCCGCCCCGGCCCCGCGCATGCGCACATCCGCCCGGGCCCCCGCGCATGCGCAAATCCGCCCGGGCCCCACGCATGCGCACATCCGCCCCGGCCCATGAGCACATCCGCCCCGGCCCATGCGCACATCCGCCCCGGCCCATGCGCATCCGCCCCGGCCCATGCGCATGCGCACATCCGCCCCGGCCCCGGCCCATGAGCACATCCGCCCCGGCCCATGAGCACATCCGCCCGGCCCATGCGCACATCCGCCCCGGCCCATGCGCACATCCGCACCGGCCCCTGCGCATGCGCACATCCGCCCCGGCCCCTGCGCATGCGCACATCCGCCCCGGCCCCTGCGCATGCGCACATCCGCCCCGGCCCCTGCGCATGCGCACATCCGCCCCGGCTCCGCGCATGCGCACATCCGCCCCGGCCCCTGCGGGTGGATGTGCCAGGTAGTGATGGTCCGCAGTAGCATCTTCAGCCTGGCTAGCTTTCTGAGAGGACAAGCTGCCGTTTCTTCGCCCTCTCGAAAGCAGACTCTCTCATTGCCGGTGCAGTGAAGTTATTCCAGGCAAACAGGGAAGGAACAGCCCCACTTTTAAGGCGGCTGGTGGTGGATCCGCTCACAAAATCCTCCGGTGTGAAGTGGCGGCTACATACGAAAGTGCTCCCCGTCTTTATGCAAAAGTCCGGACCTTCATCTCTCCGGATCGCCTGGATCCACTGCCTCCGTTGGCCCGGGTCTGTCGGGAACGCATGATAAGGCTGTTTTCTTGCCCCACATGAACAAAAACAACTGAGCCGAGATTGAACCATTTACCTAGCCTTTTAATGCTAACGCTATAGCCACCGGAAGTTGTCCAACCCAACATCCGCTTTCAAACCTGGAAGCGTGAAAAAGGTATATTCTTCATCTGGAAAACGTAACTTTACGCTTTTAACTACTGTTCCCTGAAGGAGAGGAATGAGGCACAACACTTAACTTCCTCCGTACATTTTAGGTTCCCATTATAATTGACCATGGTCGTAGACCCAGGTGAGAAGGGAGCAATATTTGCGCGAGATATTTCAGTAAAATTTACTTTATTATTGGAGACTAATAATGTAAACTTGTCTGTTCATCAATGTCCATAAAACGCCGAGCTGATATCGGAGAAAAACCCAACAACCACAGCCTGGGTGTTAAACATTTCCATCTTTAAACCTTTAAAAGATTAAAATCGGACTATATTTTGCTGAAAATGTGTTGTAAAGTGAAAAAAAAAACCCAACAAAAACAAACATCTGTCCTTGGTAATTGACATATTTTATTAGAATTTACTAAAAATAATAGAACAGAACCTTGACCAATGAATAACTGTGTACAATTACTGTAAGTAAAATCTAACTTTTTGAAAAAAACAGTATGCGTGGCTTCAAGATACGCCTTTATTGAAATGAGATCATAAAAATGACTGTCAATGAAAAAACACTACAGCCCCCTAAAGAAGATATTCAGAGCTAACAAGTCACAGACTGATCAGGTGGCAAGATTCCTGAAATCAAAGTCACAAAATAAAAGTGTAGAGCATTCCCATTAGTTTCCTCATTCAAAGGGCAGCCTGCACAGTCAGGTGAGCCTGCGGGGGGGAATGCGCGTTTGCTGAAGTGTTCAAATAGCAGAAAACAGCGACATGAACAGTTTCAAGGTGCATCCAGCTGTTCCAGTAAAGTTCTTCTTCTCTTCTCCAGCTCTCCTTCACTCAGCTCACTGCCTGATGTGTCCCAGCCACCCTGATCAGAACACACAAGGACTCAGTAAACACTAACCCAAGTATTCACAGCTCCTGTCCAGTTTCTCTCCATTTAAATACACATTGAAAACCAGTGGACAGACAATGCCTTTCAAGCTTCCAGAGGCCGAACCTCAAAAATAAACTAGAATGTATCTGACTGACACTCATGGGACAAAATGGAGAAATGCACGATGGCAATGGGAGAAAACGAGGTGTGTGGGTGTGTCCACTGCACTGACCAGAAGTGAATGATCTAGTCTTTTTTTTTTTTATTCCTCTCACCCTTACCTCAGTGTATGTCCCATTGCCTAGCAACTGCAACGGTCTAAAACCCACGCTGGTAAAAATGGAGGTCGAAATCTTGCTGACTTTTTAATTACATATTTAATCCTTAATTTAACCATTTTTAAATAATCAAATTCTTTTGTTTTACAAAACTTTTATTATAAACACAAAACCCTAACAACACAACCGCTTTACGCTTTTCATTTTTGTACCACCAAATTTAAATATACATATAGCTGAAACTTAAAACTTCCCCCTGCCCACCACCCTCTCCACCAGGAAACATGGTGGTGGCAGCATCATGATGTAGGGATGCCTTTCTTCAGCAGGATCAAGGAACCTGGTCAGGATTGATGAGAATATGGTTGAAGCTAAATGCAGGAAAAGGCTAAAGGAAAACCTAGTGAAAACCTGAACATTTATGTCCGTATCTTCTCTCCGTATAATCTGATTTCTGAATTTGAGCTATGTTGCCAAAAAAACGTCGAAACGAAAAAATGTCCAAGTCTCTAGAAAGCTGTAGACAAACCCAGAAGACCTGTAGACTGTAACTGCATTGGAATATAATTTTAAACAGTTTTGTCTCAGGAGGGGGGCTAGATACATTTACATGCCACACTTTTCAGGTTAAATGTGACAAAATCAAAAGCTCATGTGCTAAGAACTTTTTGACAAGGCACTGTGGAATTAGTGACGTAAATTCACCTCCTCTTTGGCTGCTTTCCTTTTAGGAGATTTCTGTTTAGACTCTGAGCGAGATTTCCCCCGAGTCTTGTCGTTCTCTTTATCCTTCTCTGAATCTCGCTCTCGTTTCCCGTCACGCTCTCTTCCTTTCTTCTCGCCGTCGGAGTCCGGTGAGGCCTGTTTGTCATGGCTATAGTCAATTCACAACAAACTGCACACTCGTTGCAAAAAGCTGCATAGAGCTCTGGTTTACTCACAGACTTGTGACGCCTCTTCTTGCCTTTCTTCTTGTGTTTCTTGGATTTCTTATAGCTTCGCTCTGTTTTGAAGCAGAACATACGAACAGGGCTGCATTTCTTCCACACGGCGATTGAATGATTCACTGAGCCAGGAAAAACACTCACCAGATTCTCCACTAGAAGAGCGCTCAGAGGGAGATTTGGACTGGGACCGCTTCTTCTTCTTGTGGTACTCCTCCTCCTCTGACTCTGACGGCTTCGGCAGCAAATAGAAAGTTTCACAAACTGTTAAATGCGTGTTCAGCACAATTTGTGACTCATTCTTTTTAAGTACTGAGAGCAACTGACTGATCGAGAGCGTGATCGCTTCCTGTGGTGTTTCTTGGACTTCTTTGAATGCTTTTTTGTCTTGGAATGGTGATGCTGGCATTCATGCTGCCAGACAAACAAACAAATGAAGAAAGAAAGGTAAGCATGACTACCATCTGAATGGATAAACTCTTTGCTTTCCTCGTGGTCATGGTGGCAACCTCACCTCCAGGACATGCATGAAATCTTTGAATATCCTCTTCCTCTCTGACTCCAGCGTCACGTCTTCGAAGGCAGCTTCTTTCAGGAATCTTTCTCTGACCTGAAACAAGTCAAATGCCGTCTGTCACGAACCATTAAGCACAATAAAAAAACACTGAACAGGAAATAGAAAATGTTGCCACTAAAAGGGATTTTATTTGCCCATACTTCTTCCCATGAGGCCTCTGGCTCCAGCGGCGGTGTGGCCTGCTTCAGCATGGTTTTGAAAGCTGCTTCTTTCCGCTTCATCTTGCGGGCTTCCTCCTTCTCTCGCTCTCGCTCTCTGGCTTCAGCCTTCTCCAGTAACTGCGCAGAAACAAGTTTAAACATAGTCAATTGTGAATTAGAAAAAAATGATGCAGCGAAACAATTTGACAAGAGACATACAGAAAAACAGTGAGGAATGAGATGCCAGAGGAAGTTGTCTGTTTTTTTGTGTTATATAGAGCTACAGAATAGCATGGCTCTGCCCCTCCCAAACCTGCTGCTGCACTGCTGACTGAAAATATCTCATGTTGCAAAAAATCAATGACATTGTGGGAGACTAAAGAAGTGCCACCTAATCGCTCTTATGAAGAGAGCAGAGAGTCTGATGAATTATTTTGCAGCTTGTGGCTCCATCATCAGCACTTGAAATCTAATGTTATACATCTGAATGTAGTTGAAAAGTGAACAATTGCTTCTTTTGTGTTCAGTAAAAATGTGTAAATGTTGAGATAAAATCATTATTGTACATTGATAACACTGGGTTAGAAAAGTTATATTTTGGAAGTTATCCATTATGTTTTTTCAACTGAATTTTGCACAGCTGAATCCAAAAATGACATCCATTTTTTTCAACCTGGTCAACTTTTTATTCTAATTTGATTTAGATAAATCTGATCTTCTGACTAAATTGATTGCATTTTTATGACATTAACAGTTCATTTTCGTTCATATTTCTCATTCAAAAAAGGTTTTAAGAGAAAAAAAAAAGTTTTCTAACAAAGTGTAATTAAATGTTACAAAATTGGATTTCTGTAAATTTAACTAACGTGGAAAAAAATAGTCGTCAGTGTCCAGAAACAATGAAGCACTATAAGCACAATTACTTTAAGCAGTCATGCATTATGCTTCTGTACTAATTTGCAGAGGTTTTTGATACAACTGGTAAGTGAGTCTTACGCTGTTGAAGGCCAGCTTTATGTTCCCAGCATCCAGAGTAGTGGCTCTCTTGTCTGAGCTGATAACAGATCCAAAGTCATCAAAGCTGGTGTTCACTTCCACCAGGAAGCCTTTATCCTGAGTAAACACAGAGACTCGTGAACAAAACCTCTGAGTTTAACAGTGACGACGTTCCCAAAACAATTCCCCAAACACCCGATTCTGATTTCCTCTGGCTTACCTTGAGGATATCTTTGATGATTCGTTTTTCATCGTGGTAACGGGCCTTCAGGTCTTCCACGTAGAATTTGAAGAGGTCCAAAGGAGTGGAACCTACAGAAAGATACAAGACGGATACAAAACAGTTAGGAAAGAAAAGTAAACATAATAGAGAGAAAGTGGATATTAAACAATTTCAGTAACAATACAATTCAACTCTATCTGTATTTAATTATTAAGTGAAATGAACTGAGTGTATTTCTTCAGTCTATTTCTGTGTTTATGTCTCGTCCACGTGTTGCGCGGCTCTTAGCTCATCGCAGGCGTGTGCAGTCACATGTGATGCGCCCCACTGCCGTACCAGGCTGGCCCAGCATGCCGCTGAAGCGCATGTCAGAGCTCAGGGTCGGGTACATCTCCATCCAGGAGGACATGGAGTGAAGCTGGCCGTGATCATGGAGCTCATCCAGAAATTTCTGTGCAAAAAAAAAAAAAAAAAGACTAATATAAATTTAAGACAGCAACTGTTGGAAGACTAGATGTGATCAGTATGTGACTGAACCGTCTCTTAAGAGCATGGACCGGTACATGCCTGGAAGGACTCTCTGTTCTTGCGCTGCCGTCTCCGCTCCCTGAGGAGAGTCTTCTGCTTGTCTTCTTCCTCCTCCTTCTCCAGAGCTCGTATGTGCTCCTCAAAACAGATGAGGGCGTCCTCTTTATCCATATCTGTCAACGGATAACAACAAAACATGTATTACATTCAGAGTTGAGCCCTCTGCTGCCACACAAACACATTTCTCACATTAACTCTGGATCTGAATCCATGATAGGAAATTGATTTTATTCTCGTACTCTGCAGCTCTTCGTCCTCAGCAAACGTGGGGTTGTCCAGCAGATACTGCTGGGCCTCGGACCAGGTGGTGCGATATGTCACATTAGCCATATTGTCCAGAATGTTCTTCAGAGCTTCCCAGTTCCTCTTCCTCAGCTGCTTGGCTTGTTCCTGCATTTAAAAACAAAACAAGGAAGTATTATCGTTCCAAGTTTGCTTTAAAGTCAAAATGAAAGACTCTTCCGAGTTAAATCAACATTAAATACAATATAATTAGAGGTAATTCTTTAAAGATGGGTGACTCAGAAAAGGATGCATTAGGAATAAAGTCCTAGACCACTGAACCCTATTGAAAACCTCATGGTTATTCCACCAAATATTGATTTCTAAAAAAAAAGCAAATGTTTTAACTCTTCCTGAGTTAAAATATTAGTATTGTTGTTTCTAAATGAATATGAACTTGTTTTCTTTGTATTACCTGATGTCTGAAAGCACTGCATCTTTTTGTAATTTTAACCATTTCTTATTTTCTGCAGATAGCCTGGTAATTTGGAAACATGTCAGTAGTTCATGGAATAAAATAATAATGTTCATTTTACTCAAACATATACCTATAGAAAGTAAAATCAGAGAAACTGATCACTTTAAGTGGTCTCTTATTTTTTCCCCAGCGCTGTATATTCCCATAATCCATTGTTCCACACATAAAAAAACACTTTTATTCCAACTCCGTCCAGGCTGTGGCAGAACCTCGTACTGCTGAATGTTTTATAACGAAGGACGTTTTCAGCGCCTTACCTTCTCTTTCTTCGCCAGGTAGAACAACACGTCTTCGTAGATCTCCAGTCTGTCTCTCTCAGGAACACAGCTCCACACTTCCAGCTCATTAAACATTTGCTCTGCTTTCCTGGGTCACAGACACACACACACACATACACACACACACACATACACACACAGCTGGTTTAGATCATTTTCACACAAGCTCGCCACATGATGGCGATATTTCACCAGCCAATTATATTTTACACTTCTCTGTAAAATAAATAAATAAAAATACCAGATGCACTTCGGAGGAGATTTAAATCTGATTACATATATTTGAATGAACACATAAAACACACAGTTTAGTTCATGTAACTGAAGCTTTTTTTAAGGAAAGCAACTGACTGATTTTATAACGCTGACTTTAAGAAGAGCTAGCACCTCTGACTGGCAACTGTGCAATTAATAAAAGATGAGAAACACACCATCAGAAAGTCCTGCTATCACTCTCAGACTGCCTGTTGTGACTCATCCCAGATTACAAGCTGGTGCCAGCAGAACTCTGAAACCGACTCGCTGTCAAGGTCACCGGCCGACGGTCTGATACGGTGACTTTCACCCATGTGCCAAACCCAAGAATTGACCGACCAGATGCTATAATAACCACCGATGAGTTTAACTGTTAATATTCAAGCTCATTAAAAATACAAAACTTCATACTGCATTTCAAATGTGTCTCTTTGAATATATAACAGAAGAAAGCCAAATTTATTGATACTGATGAAGCTAAAAATAATTTACAATGTTAAAATATATATTAAAATTATTTGGTAATTTTGTACAGGACAAAATGAAGATTAGGATACAAACGCAAACCAAATTCTTCAAACCCAAACTCATCCACAGTGAGGAGCAGCATACCTAAGTCATAGATAACCTTTCATTGATCAGTATAATGAAAATGACAGTCCAGAGCAGCACTGATCAACACACAGTAAAACACATATGTACTCTAAAAATCCCAGCAGCCCCTACTTGTATCTGGTGGTAGACGTCATCTTGTCATGATTCTCCAAGAACCTCTGGAACTTTTCTTTGGACTCTTTGTATTTAATCCTGGCCTCTTCCTTCTCCTCCTTCTCAGTTTGGACTTTGTAGGCATTAAACGCCTGCTTCTTCTCGCTCAGTTTGGGAAGTGCGCTGTTAACAGTGGAGAAAGACAATTAATGTAATAAATTAGTGTTGTGTGAAACATGTCAGCTGTGTACGTCATTTCAGATGTCTTCGTTTATCACCTTATTTGACTCTATGAAGGTTTATTCTGTTGGGCTTACTATGTACAGTTTAATGTGTAGATTATGTAATCCGAACTTTTTCAGATTACATAATCTGAAAAAGTAGTGATTTCTCACTGGAAAGTTCAGTGAGAAATCATAAGCATCTGAGAATCTTCTACCTGTAGCGAGGATCATTGATAATCAGCTTCATGGCTTGTTCCCATGAGGAGTTTGAGGAAACCCCCTAAAATGAAAAGAATACAATGTTATATTGGAGTAAGACACCTGAACCCATATAAAAGGTTCAATTCCACACATTAGAATATTTATTTACTAGGATTTTGACAATTGGAAAATAAATAAATAAAATCAAGATGTTTAGAAAGTTACAACTTATACTACTATGCAAATTGTGGACGTAACAGTTCTCCAGCACACTCACAGACATCTTCAACAACATGGATAGATAGGCCTTTAAAAGTTATTGCTTAAGAAACAAGCTGTAAACACATTCAGCTTGCTTACATATCAAAAAATATTAATGGGAAGTTGAGTGGAAGAAAAAAAAGTGTTTTATTCAGTTTATTAAGGACAGCCTGTTAACAATAGCACTAAAAACTAAGCAGCCATTGTTTTGTGCAAAGGTTTTCTAGCCCACGGTCCAATTCTTGGTCGGACCATTTAGAATAAAAAACTCCCTCCACACATGCACAAATAGGTTGAAATTCTGTAACTATTAACAATATATACATGAAAATGTGTATTAGAGAAAACTAATATCACACAATAACACAGATTTTCCTTCCACTCAACTTTCCTTTGTTTAGTCAAGAGTCTCTGCTTGATTGTGTGAGGCCATTACATGTCATTTCTCCATAAAAAAACTGTTTTATTAGTTTTATATATAAATTTTCTAATAAGCTATATCTTTGTATTGTATTAGCTGCAGCCTAAATTATTCAAATTAGATTGAAAAACTGCACTCTTTGAACTTACCAAGTGAAACAAATTGAGTTTTAAATTATATTCCAATTACTGAAAAGCACCTGTAAACTCATTAATATAGCAACATTATAACTCAAGGAAAATAACCTTTTGGAAATGATGAAAAAAGGACAAAAAGTAATTCCCTAATTGCTTCAAGCTGCTTGTTTAGGAGGTGTGGAGTGGCAATAATTCAAGTAGTGCCACTGATGGCTTATATAAGCGCCCTTTCTTTATAAGCGTGCCTCTCTCTCAGAAAGTGGCTCCTTCATCCATTATGGACTGATTCCACCGCGCCGCTGTCTCGTCACTTGTCACAGTTATTCTAACTCACTGAGGCATGCCACTTTCCCTCACTGTCTTAATCCCAGCCAGCCCCCTCTGCCTGTGATCCAATAAAGCTAATCATAAAGACAGACCCATTAAGATCTGGAAGGAAATGGCAAGCAATCTCAGAGGAGAGCTTTGTGCACAAAATTAAAAAGCACCTAAATATAGCAACAATCGAGGTGGGGCGCGCTTGGCACGCCTTGCTACTTGTAAACAACACGGTCACAGCAACAGGAGGCGAGCTTAACAGACTTCCCAGGGGCTGAAGGGAGGGGGGGGGGGATTAGATTGAGATCAGGATGCAAAGGATGTGACGAGAAACTCATAAAGGCTCGGCAGACAGAGGTAGCTAAACATCTCCCTCTAAGAGGAGAGCTCACGTTTTATGTCACATGTTTCACGCAATTAGAGAGAAAAGAGTGACAGCAAAGCAGCTGTCAGTGGGGAATCTAGAGAAAGGAGACATGGAGGCTTTTCAGAAACCCATAAACCAAAATATAACACTGACTGTTTTCAAATGAGAAAAATTATATTGCAACATCCCACAGAGTATAAATACCATCACGATCATTTGATTTATAATAGCATCTCAATTATGCATGAAATTAACCAGCAGAGTTTCTACAGATTCAAAATTTTATATTTTTCTAAACTCAAGTTTGTAAATTATGTAAAAACAATGCAATGATTTTTTATTAATAACAGAACTTTAGAAAGAGGAAACAAAAACCGACTGTAAACAGCAAAACATGAATAAAATGTTTCAGAAATTATTTTTAAAAAATTATTGCATAATAAAGATCACCATGATCTCCCAGCTGCAACTAAACGCAAGTAAAAAAAATTATGTTAAGAAGGCATTTCAAATGATAGACGGTCTGAGCTGCTACAACTGATTAAAAAAATGACTCTTCCACTGATTGGAAATTCAAGAGCTGCACAATATTAAGAAAATATTTCACTGAAATGCTCTTACTGAAGACAAAAAATGCTGATTACAATTAGCCTACATTTTCCAGACACTTTTCTTTTGTTAACATTAAACAATGTGACCGCGACTCAAGAGCACTTAAAGAGTTATTACAAATGAAACTGTCCATCTCCAACTTATCTTTTAAAGAATAAACAATTCTTCATATGCAATACAGTGGATGCTTCACAAGTGATCCTTAATTTCCTTAAGGTCAAAATAGCGACCTGGTTCCTTGACTCACCTTCTCCTTCAGCAGCTCTTTGAAGGCCTGCTTGGCTTCTTCTTTTGTGTTCCACTTGTAGGTTTTCTTCTGAAGTTCAGGTCGTTCTTCTTCTTTGACTTCGACACTTAAAAACAAATTAGAATGATGATAACATTTGTTACATTGCTTTCATTATTAAAACCACTTAATGACTTTATTTAGAATTAAAAGTGAAATCTTTAAAGATTATTGTGGTTCTCAGTGGATATTACTGTTACACAAGAAAGTGCTTTTAGTTAGTTTGATTTTAGCACTACAAACAAGTCAGGGGGAAAACTGATGCAAAGAGCCCAATTCTCAATGAAAACAAGACCTGAAAAACCAAAGAATAAAATAATACACAAACATTTAAGTAAATTCAAATTAAGAGCTAATGAGGAAAATCTTGGCAAATGTATGACCTAAAATGCAACTGTTCTTTGAAATAGTAAAGAAAATACCTTAAATTTTAGAAAGTATTTTAAAATTTTAAATAACTTTAGTTGATCTGTATATGCCTGAATATTAATAGGTTTCACAAATCATTCTACAAAACGATGCCCTCCAATTCTCCTACTATGTTAATGGCTGCCTTATGTGTAGTAACATAAATCAGATCTATTAAAAAATCTGCAGGTATTGGACTAGTAAAATAGGATTAGAGTATCCTCTAGTAAAGTGAACATAAATAATGTTAGCCAGGGATTTAATATTTACATTAATGCGAGCTTAAAGCGGAGCCAACTGTTGTTTACCTGGGTTTGCTCTCTGCAATGACAGCGCTCTCTGAGGAAGTCACAGGTGCCTCCACAGCCTTGACCTCAGCTGTTTGATGTGCGGTCACCTGGGACTGCTGCTCCTCTGGGACCGCCGCTGCAGTTTCCACCTCCTTTACGGTGGCCGTGGCGGCTGTATTTTTGTCGGCCTGCACTATAGGAGTGGCAGTCGTTCCAGGAGCCGCAATCTCTGTTGTTCTGGAATCAAACCATGATGTTCCGGAATCAAACCAAAACTGCTACTTCAAGAATAAATAACAAGCCTTCACAAGATTAAGACGAAACAAGTATATGCCATGTTATGAACGCCATAATTTAAATTAAAAAAAAATATTCCAACTGCTGCTAAAACAAACATTTTAGCATTTTATGTTATTGTCTTACCATAAAATGTCAATGTGTATTGTTACTTTGATTTTGACACCATAATCAAAATTTTTAAATGAAGATATTGGAAAAGTTAAGAAAACTTCACAATTGGAAGAAATTAAGTTAAGGTTTCTTCCAGCCAGCTGACTGCAAGTGTGCAGCAACAGGTCAGGAAGTGAAAAACTATTCTTGTAAAGAAACTCTGGTGTCTCTAATTTATCCATCGATCCATTATCTGTTCACTCTTATCCCTAGTGGGGTCGGGAGTGGCTGGTGCCTATCTCCAGCTGCGTTCCAGGCGAGAGGCGGGGTACACCCTGGACAGGTCACCAGTCTGTCGCAGGGCAACACAGAAACAAACAGGACAAACTACCATGCACACCTAGGGAGAATTTGGAAAGACCCATTAACCTGACAGTCATGTTTTTGGACTGTGGGAGGAAGTCGGAGTACCCGGAGAGAACCCACACATGCACAGGGAGAATATGCAAACTCTATGCAGAAAGACCCCGGGCCGGGAATTTAACCCAGCAAGGCAAACCCACTGTTGCCTTACTGCAAGGCCACTGTTGCCTTAAGGCACTGTTGCCTTACTGCAAGGCAACAGTGCTACCAACTGCTCCACTGTCCTAATTTAAAGGATTAAATGTTTGAAACCTCGGTATTAGTAACCTGTCTATGTCTTATGAATACCAAATGAAAATTGTTTGGCCACAGAGAGCAAATAATGGATCAAAGAGGAGAAACAGATGGCACACAGAACAACTTACCCACTCTCCTCTGCTTTGATCATAGCTGGAACAGACAAATAAAGAAGCCATTATTAAGTCTGTGCTTCATTTTTAAAGCAAAGTACAAAGAAACGCCCCACACTGATCACTCCACATAACAAGCCAACATATTTTCTTGAAAACATTATCTCTCATCTTTGTACAACAGTGATTCTTGAACTCGTTTATGCTTTTAATAATTTGTTGTACATGCCAGCAGAAGGCTCAGACCGTTCAGATTAACATAAGCTTGAAATACGAGACACCATATTTTTACCCTCCAGATCCTCCAGCTCCTTGGGTTTGGTCCATCTGGACTCCTTTGTCTGGGAGTTGTAATAATAAGGCTTCCCTGTGTCAGACTTGTACTCCTTCCAGGGGCATTTAGACAGCATTTGCTAAAATAAACAATAAAATAAATCATCATCATTATGAGTTTCGGGATCATTTTTATAAGAAGAATGCAATGTTCATCAAAATAACTGAAACAAATGCTTAAAATATCTGCAATTCAATATTTTGGACTGCATGATTTTTATTCATTGAGATGTGCATGTGCATGCAATTTAATGCCCTTTACATTATGATACATTTTAGTAAATGAAACCACATGGAAACGTTTTTCATATTTCAAAAATAGTTGAATCAACATGAAAGGGTAAAAACAACAGTTTTGGCATATACATTGATACATTTATGCTAGAACATGTCTCTTATTATCCAGGTCAACAAGTATTTGATTAGTTAGCAGTCTAATAAAACAGGTTGTGGAACGGTAAAAGTGCATACCTCTGCAGGAGATTTCAGTTCATCCGGTTTCTCCCATGTGGACTGTTTGGTTTCTGTATTGTAATAATATGTTTTCCCATCTAAAGATTTGTGTTCTGTCCACACAGATTTCTACAAAAATAATAAAATATTTAAAGTTAGCCACTTTCAATCAATACATAAAGTTTTTGCGGTTCCTTCATCAAACTTCAAAAACTTTAACAATCTTTTGGATATATTTGTGTGTGCCAACCTTCTTTGGCTGTTCTTCTGCAGGGGATCCATTTGTTGCATTCTGCAGGAATAAAATAAATTGATTAACATTTACTGCTAAAAGAAAATGCAGGAGCAAAAAAGACCAGTCAACACTGTTGAAACTGATGAAGGTGCATATAGAAAAAAACTGTGACAAACGTACAGTTGTTCCAGGTGCAGCTGCAGCAGGGACTGAAAGAGAAATATGTCAGATATCGAGAAATAAGCAAATCAGAACAAAGACATTGATTTGTAAACTGGATCATACCTGTGGTGTCAACACCAGGCTGGAAAAACAAAAGAAGAAAGAATATTATTTACTGCCACAAACATAAACAAAATAAACTAGAAACTTCCTAGAAACTAATATTAAACAACAAAGCGCTCTTTTCTATACATTGAGATTACTGGTAATATCTAATTCAACTAGAGCCAAAAACTTCCAACATGATGACTTATTGTAACCGTAATTATAGATTATGCATTTTTAAGAAATAAGTGTGACATGTGAAACCAGAAGAAATCTGTAAGGAGACAGCTGCTTCTTCATGGCACTGTATGTTGTTTAAATGCTTCACTTGGCATTTTCTGGGTAGCAGGTTATTTCTGAGGTCTGTGAAGCCAACATAAAACGACAGAGAGTGAGACGTACGGGTCCCGTCGGCTGCATGGTTGCAGCTGGAATCCGAGGAGGCAGCATCATTCCCGGGATCATGGGCGGTATCATGCTTGGCATCTAATACAAGAAGAATCATGAAACATTCAGACATTTTTATACTAACACAAATCTTCCAACACAATGAGAGTGTGAGTCTGTCAGCATGAGAGGCTGCTTGTAACTTCAGGGAGAAAGTGAGACTGAAGTTATGTTTGCTGTGCTAATTTAATCGTGTGATAACACAGCTTGTGATCTGTGCGATGCAAATGCACCAAAACTCCATTCCGCTCATTTATTTTCTAAGCTTGTGACTCCTTATGCCGACTTACTTTCTGAAATCACACGTTCTAAATGTTGCCAAGGCAGAAACATACGCTGGCAGAAAAGGGACACATTCGTGAGAACATTTAATAAAAATACTACGTCATAAATAATTGTTGCTAAAATGGTTTAATTTTAGAACAAATATGCAATTTTACTCATTTACACTTTCTTTTAAAAATGGAGTTGGATGATAAGACATCTTTTTATTTGGTGCAACACATGTATTTTCACTGACTGCCTTTGAAAGAAGGAAGAGTTAAATAAAATTTTTAAATTATGATTATATTGATGCAATTTTTAACTCTATTGTTTCATTGCAGCAGAAACATCCAGTTCAGATAGACAAAGTCTTGTATAAGAGATTAACATAAAAACTTACCTGCCCCATTGGTGGAGCAGCCATTGGTGGCATTATGCCTGGTGGCATTATTCCAGGTGGCATTGGAGTCATGCTAGGTCGCTGCCCCATAGGGGGTATTCCCATGGGTGGGAAGTGAGGTGGTATTCCTGGTGGTCCCATCTAGTCAATTAAAGAAACAGAGAGAGATATTGCATTTTTAAACTGTTATAGGTTTTTAACTAGTTTGACAGCTGAAAGAAAAACATAAAAGCTAACTTTTACCAGACTTTTGAAGACTTACATATGGAGGCGGTATGGCTGCAGGGGGGACAGCTGCATAAGGGGCCGCCTGGCTTGGGCCATTATTTGTCTCCGTTGAAGACTGCCATGAATAAAAAACACAACAATAAGTTAGAGAAGTTCTAACTTCAATATATTTTTTTCAGTTTTTCTTCAGTATGAGGTTAAAAAAGAAATAATTTGGTCTGCTGTAGTATTCTAATTTTTGATGATTATGAATATAAATAAGAAAGGCTTGAAAACATCAGTATGTACTATGTAATGTTTACCTCAATGAATTTGGCAACTGAAATAAATGTTCTAATTTATAAAATATGACTGTATAATTATTGGGTATAGGTATATGCTACAATCCACTTTGTGGACAAGTGTTGTGCAAACTGGTACTGGATTTGTCCATAAAGATGGAATTAAAATCTGTGGTATCACTCAATGTCAACTTTTCAGATCACAGACTTTATTTCAAAATGTTAAATAAAGTGCAGACTGATCTATTGCATTTTTTTTTTAGAAATGTTCACGTCTTAATTGTCCATATACGTCATTCCATCATTTACAATAAATTAAGCGAAATACCAAAATGACAAAGGTGTTGAAGTTATAAATTGATAGAAAGCTTAATAACATTTAACATACATAGTAGTGAGGGGAGCTACAATACGAAGACATCCCAAAAGACAAAGTAAAAAATTGTCTTAATGGATATGAGTTAAAGACACAGAAAGCTTTATTCAAAAATAAATCCGATAGCACAAAATCATCGCCATTAAGACTCTTAACACAAATAAATCCACGAAATCCAATTACTATCCTGCTTGTGAACAAATACAAATATTTTAATTTGAATAATTAGCTTCTAGCTAATACAAATGCTAGTATTCTTGACGAATGAGCACAGGCTCCGTCTAACTACTGGAACAGAATGGGTTTATGTAGCAATGAGGTTTACTAAACCAAGCCCAATGCGTTTAAAATAGCAGCTTGTGAATTGGGTTAGAATTGAAAACCAATATTCTGTGTTCACAATGAGAAATGTCCACTACTGGTTCTAACCGCCTCATCTTCACTAAGCGTCGATTCCAGATGATAGTCCATGCTATAGTGGTATGAATGTGCCGCTACATTAGCCTACAGCTAACGCGACATGCTAACTAGCACCAGCCACCTCTGTGCGACTCTTCAAGAAGGGCAAGAGGCGGCTTCCAACCACACAAAGAAAAATGAAAACTGAAGTCATGGATTATTGCTCATTTTTGTCGGCAGCATCACTAATAATTAAAAACTTTTCTTTCAAGCAGGTCCACTCACCATGTTGACGGCAACGTCCAAGGAAATCCAGCACCTATCAATAACGATCACAGTGATTGGTCGAACCGCATTGTGACGCAGAAGCTTGAGGCGGTGGCTTCTGTTGTGTCAGTGCGCGCCAGGAAAACGCATAAAAGCGCAACGACATCATGCATTTAGTTACTCAGTAAATAAATCAAAGAAAATGATGAAACACAAATAAATAAGACAAGTGAATAATGAAGGATATTGTATTCTATTCTATTCTATTCTATTCTTGAAACACTCTAATCTTTGTGCAATTTTTCCAATTTTTATCAAGCTAAACTGGCATGTGGAATATATGACTGTAGTATTTTGGTATGAGATGAATGACCAATTATAAATTTATAAATACACAATATTTGCGGGACCTGTTGCCATAAAGCATCTTGTCAATGTTTACTATGTAAGTGAGCTGAACTAAAAATATTACTCTCACTCATACTGTCTGCCTGATCCAAAATTTATTGTAACTAACCACTTAGGTAAAGCACACTCTTGCAACATACAATATTGCTTCAAATGCTTTGGCATATCATTAACACTTCTAATTCTACAGGGTGGTAAACTTCCCATTCAAAGACTAAAAATGTTTCCATAAAAACATTGCTCAAATTGACCTTATGGTTGTGCAGTTGTCTAGGTGATCTGATTTACTTTCAGCATCACAAGTGATTCACAAATCCCCAAAGGAAATAAAAATGCTAAATAAAAACAGCAATAATCATTATCTACACTATTTTGTCACCTCATTTAAGCTAGTCTCTACACTTGTAAGAGTTCCCCTCTTCTTTTAGATGCTGGAGCAAAAATCAATTTCCAAAGATGCGACAACTGTTTTCAAGACGCAGCAAAGTGACTTCAGTGTATTGGGAGTAATTGGAAAAACTGACTGTTTTTCCAAATATTGCATTCTGTGACACTGCTTTTTGCTCAAACAGAAGGATGAAATAAAAGTGAAAATTAAGCTGTGGTCACAGTTTCGCTTTATAACCTTTTCCCAGAACTGTACCCTGGAGCATAAAACTATAAAGTGTGATGACATCATGATAATATTGGCTAGAGAAGAAATAAACAAACAAACAGTTATACAATCAAATTCTTTCCAAAATAATAAAGAATAAATTTACATGATGTACAGGTTAACTGTATTCCTCTCAATGCCAATGTTTTCTGGGCTGCCTTGGATTTAAAGTGTTACTGAGGTGTGAAGCGTGCAACAAAGAGCCTGGGAGATGAATGAACCCTCACTTGGGGACAGACTGCAATAAACTCTGATGCATTTCCTGACAAGAATGGAAGAATTTCCAATCAATTCTCCTAACAAGGCAAAAGATAAAAAAAAAAAAAAAGGCAGAACAGCAGTAAGTGATGGAGCTTCAACATAATGATGGGAGTCAATCAACCACACCAGAAGACACAAAATAGACAAGACAGGTGGGCATACAGAGTAGCTTGGAAAACTATTCACATGCCTTATATTTTTTCATTTTATTTATTTTGTTGGAATTTTATGTAATAATCCAGCTCAATCTTTTAGTGGTAAAAAGTCTGAAAAGAAGGGCATGTAAATATCAAACCCTTTTTACTCTGACACTCCTGAAGAATATCCTTTGAAGCAGCAATGTAATTTTCATCTGGGACACCCTAAAAAGAATGCAGTTATCAGGGCAATGAAAGGTTCAAAATATTTTTGGAAGGCAGGCTTAAATTTCCTCCCACTTCTGATTTGTGCAGTGCCTTCTAATATTATATTTTTGATATTTTTTATATTTACAGATACATTTCTAGTAGCAACCAAATTTCTACCAATTTGGTTGCTAGAAAGTCAGGGTTTCCTGCTGCTGCTGCATTTTACGACAGTGTACAAGGTAAAAAATATATAGTTTAAGAATCAATGAAGGATATCTCACACAAATGAAACATCATTCTTCCTCAAGGATTCACATTCACTTTCTTATCAAAATCACACATTTTTTATTTACCTTCTTGAAAATTACATTCTAAATCTTTTCCTCATCAAAATGACCATGCTATATTTCAGCAGCATGCTTCTGTACATTGATGTTCTATGCCTAACGCTGTTTATCAGTAGCTCATTCTTGTTTGTTTGGGCTATTGATTCACTGTGTATGAGGTGGTCAATGATTGCCTTTGGCCATTATAGCCACTGAGTCCAGCATACTGCTGACCTGCCTTACAGGCACTCTGGTCTCATCCTGACAAATTGGCTTCCTGTCAAATGTGGTCACATTAACTATCAACATAGCACAGCATTACTATTAAAGGCTGCTTTTCAATTTTCTGTCTAAAAATAAAGAAGCCATCAGCTCAGATTTCTGTTTTGTGAGAAAATTGTAAATAAACAAGTTTTTTCTATTTTTGGCACCTGTCTTTTCATCCCAATATTTTATTAAAGTCAGTAAATATTTAATATATGATGAACAAAATCATATATATATATTTGAAAAGGATTATAATTTTCTTAATCTCCTCAAATAGTTTATAGTCACGGGTAACACATAGAAAACAAACAAAGCCTCATGGAATAAAGCAACTTTTACTCAGTATAAGTTGCTTGAGGAAGCAAGTTTACTCTAAACGCTTTCTGTGTTATGAGTGGTTATTGACGCTATGATGGGTAAATGATCAATAAAAAACAGAGTGAAAAAGCAAACAATATTGCTTCACAGGCAACACAGAAGAGCTTTGTTATTTATTGGTGGAAAACATAAGAAAGATGTTTCCTGGGTGAAATTTCCCTTGAGTGTAAGAATTGTATTATATGGTAGCTCCTTTCATACAACATTGTACTGTACTGTACACAAAAACTGTAAGGATAATTAGTCAAACATAAAAATGTTAGAAAATGTTTGGAAATCCATACACATCCCACCCAACCCCCCATATACATTACTTTTTATTTTTATCATTAATATTATTATTGTTAATATCATTTTTTTTCTTTGCAAATGTTCCATTGCCTCTTTCCTGTCAGTTGTTGCAAATAACTTTCTTTAAACTCTCAGTAGATGTTTGCAAATAGGGTTTGCATGGTAACTTGGTCTTTGGTCATGAGGAGCTTTTTTCTTTGAATCAGAAACCATCAATTGTTTGCTGTTCAATTCTTGAGTTGAAAGTCCTATTTTGTTCGTGCACCTGTTTTGCAGATTGTCATGATCACACAAGTTGCACCCTCCTACCCACTATCTTTAGACGGATTTCTCCGTGGATTGCAATTAACACTTACAACATACAAAGCTGTTCACAGTCTTTTTTCTGAAAGAGTCGCTAATTTCACATGATTTAGGTCAAACAGAGACTCTATGTTTTCAGTGCTCTCATCCATCCACCCACACAACTACAAACTGTTTTCTAATGTGAAGAAAGCAGGAAACTTTGAGCTGTAAGTTAGGCAACCCTGCTGAATGTCACTGCAAATGTCAAACTCTATATTTCACAATATTTTTATCGCTGATTACAATTTTAATAGAAAAAGACATAAGTGATTTGTCTTTGGAGGAGAGTGGAGACTGAGGAGGAGAGAAGGAAATACACTGAGTATCTCCTTCCTGTTCCATAACACGTGACTTGGAACTGAATTCTACCAGAAAAACTTATTGATCAAGCAGTACATTAAATCTCACACCGCATCAACTTTAATGACCTCCATTTCTAAAAATAAAGCCACTAAAAAGTACTTTTACAACTGCTAGAAAGGGACAAGATTGTGAGTATATGTAATTCTTGCAAGAAACCATTTGTGAGGTCAGACACTGGTGTAGAATGAGAGGCTCACTAGTCTTCATTGCTGACATCCGGGCCATATTTACTAATTTTACAAATTAATTTTTGAGAGGTCTGGCAGAAATGTAAAACTTTAGCCCGCTTTATTTAAAAGATTTGCTTCTGATACTGACTCTCCAGGCCCCTTAGGATTTCTACTGGTACCTATAGAGTGAGTATTTCTGTTGTTTTCCCTATTGCTTAAACTACAAATAATCAGGGAAAATAATGCTGTGTTTTTACAAGTCGTTTTAGGCCATTTCAAATTTTGTTCAATTTTAATCTTTTTAACTTTAATCTATACATTCTACATGCATTTCATAATTAATCTACACAATCGTGTTTCTGCAGTTGTCCATATAATTATCTATAACTGACTGATTTCTCCTACTTTTAATTCATGTTGCTTTATTACCAGTAATTGCTTGCTTTATCTTTCTGTTTACTTGATCTGATTGTTTCATTGTATGTTTCTCAAGCGCTTTAATGGCAATCTTTTTGTTTATAACCTTAGGAAAGTACTTTGATTTATTGGACAAGAATGTCTTAGATACACTGTCCAAAATGTCCAAAAATGTTTTTGTCTGAAGACTTCCTTGAGGACAACCTGAAAAAAAAAATCAACACACAATTAAAACTATGGGCCTCCCTTCACATTTTCAAAATGCAGTGAGAAAAGTTGTATTTGCTTGAAGATAGACTCATTGAAATGACTCCACTGGATTATCAGACAAGAAAGTGTGATTTTTCACTCCACCGAACACACAAATGGGATTTTGATCTGTTGTAACTTTTCTTAACATTCCAAAAATTCGGCATTTTAAAAAAGATGTGAATACTTTTTAGAATCAGCTTACAACTGATTGCCACATCACAAACTAGCCATCATTAATGAGAAGATACTGAAAGTCTTATGTTAGCCATTAGATTTTCTGCCAGTAGATAAATGGAAGTGAAAAGAAGAAGAACTTCCAGTTCTTAGAATATTCGTTGCTCTCCATGGGGAGTCATGTGAGAATATACGAAGTGTCAGATGACTGCTAGACAGCCCAGACCTTTTTTCGGAGAGCCATTTAATTTGTTTCATTGCTCGGAAACAGGAGCGTTGAAAGGAATGAGATAGAGAATGGATAATTCCAAGAGCTTCTCATTTGGCTGCATTATTACCATTCCATTAGCAAAAACATACATTTAATTAAATAACTGACTTCTACTCTGAAATGCGTTCACCT